GGTGTAAAATCGCCCCGTCCCGTCCCGCTCCGCCCCGCCGGTGTGGCGGTGCTAAAACTTGACGGGGCGGGGCGATGACGGTGCATGACGAAATTTCGCGGTTTCCCCGCCTTTGTATAACCTTGATTTTTTAAATATACTCAGACCTTTAGAGACATCTTTTAAAACTTTAAAAATTTTTTCATACTAAACTAATCAGTAAAAAAAACTAGTTAGCGCAGCTCTAGAGGGTGTAAGAATCTGTTCATATGAAAAGAAAATTTCTCCAAGCAGTCAAAAAGAAATTAAGATGTAGGGCTCACTACTTTTGGTATGACCTAAGTACTATCTGTTCTACGTGATTCTACTATTCATGCTCTCTGTGCACACAATCTTCGGTTTTCAATGTCTATAATTTAGTTTTTCTTCATTATTTAATGCGTACTTTTGAAGAGCGAATTGACATTGCTAACTGACAGAGCTTTTCTTCTTGAATTATATTCTTTTATGAGCTTCCACAAAATATAATTAATTGTTGATATTAAAAAAGAAACTCTAACTATGCAGAGTGCTCATAAAATAAAATACTGACAGTGTAAAATTCAAGTGAAAACGATTTTGTTTTTATACACACATCAATGGATCATTTTTAATGCACTCATCAATAATATGTAGGCTTCAGTTTTTCTGTCGTCTTATATGAGAACAAACTCAAAAGTGCTGAAAGATTGTAAAAATGAATAAAAATCGTTTATTTGCAAAAATTCAATTTTGTACCATTTCGACTGTCCAAACATTAAAAACGTATATGTGTTTCTTATTGTTCATTTAAAATTGAACATAACAGTCATGTTTTATTGACTTTAAATTGGAAAGCCTGTTCAGCATTAGTCGATCAAACATTTCTCCTCACCTAAGACTCGCTAATGCACAAGTCTGTAAATCTACCTAGTTTTTTTGTACGAAGAACTAGAGTCGTATGTCTTACTTTATTAGAGCCTCTTGAGGACTAACTTAAACAGTACCCATTTTAGTTTTGAAATTTTTTCTGTTATTAGATAGAAAATGGAATTATGCTGTCTAAAGGATGATATCTTATAAAAATTCACCAAATTCACCCACCTGAAATTCTCTTTCGATTAGTCACATCCAAAACAATTCCGAAAAGTGACCTGAGCGAGAGTATAAGTGAGTTGTGGATGGTACAAAGCTGTTCAATGTAATCTATGTGATTCGATATTGTTTTCTTAAACTAGTCGGAATAAGACCTTCATTTTGTTACTTTTCGACAGTGTCATGGTCAAAATGGCCGATTTTTTTAGCTAATTTCAACCTTTAGACAGAAAGTTTCTATTTTCTACCCAATACCAGGAAGCCTTCTAATACTAGGTGACTGTCGTATAAACCCATTTTCGAGAGGTTCTATTGAAGTAAGACACTCGACTTTTCTTATATAAAAATACTATATAGGTTTGCAAACTTGATTGTTTCCATCTTAGTTTTGCATTGTTAGCATTTTACGAATCACATGTAGCAGATGAAATGTGTTCACAAAATCCAAATACACTAAGTTTTTGAAAAAGTGTAGACTTCTCGATGGCTTATCAATAACAATGCTGTGCATAAATCTGTTAATGTATAATTTTACATAAGTTAAAAATTCAATTTTTTCCTGTCAACATCTAGAATACGTTTTACCTTCATTTATAATGAATTGATTCCTTTTATAAATGATTTATGTAGAATTTCGAGATACATTTACAGCTGATCAACATTGTTATTAAGTATAAAATGTACACGTTCAAAAAACTATTTTAACTTTGATTTCTTTAAATATTAAACTTTAAGATAGATCACTTTAACTTTAATTTTTAAAGTAAAGTTCAAGTGACAGCTCTAATCCTGTTCTGCACAGTTAATACACTTTTTTGGCAGTATTTTTTAATAGAGTTCACAAGCAACAATGTTGCTACTTTATTTCATACTATATGGTTTTATTTAAATTTATTTCAAAATAATAACAATTCATAGTTTAAGTATCAAAAGACACCAGAAATAAATGATACGATACACAGTGTAGGGATAAATATGAATCTTCATTTCATTTACACTCACACCTTGCAGATTTCACAGTACAAAACTTTGACGAAGATGAAACTGAGTCATTGACTAGACGTGATGTCGAAGAAGTTGATGCATCATTAAGATGAACAGTAAAAAGCATGTAAATGTCACCATGAGAATCAACTGATTTAAAACTCATCAGTAAATATTATAGTTTAAAGTGGCAAAACGACGGTAATAAGAGATATAAATACAATTTTTTCAATGATTACTTTAAACTCCCCCCCAGAATAGAAGGCCACCCCAGAATAGAAGGCCACCCCCATTAGAAGGCCACCCCTGAGTCATATTTGCAAAAGTCACATTAGAAGGCCATGGCTTTCTAATGAATTGTTTGGATATTACATAAATATTCTGTGCTAGTTTTATAAATATCTTAGCATTTTGAGAGATCATGTATGATCTCCACCGCACTCCTGTTTGGTTTTGCTATAAATTTAAAGAGGTATGTTCAATTTCCAAAAGCTGTCAAAACAAAACAAAGTTTAATATGCCTATTTGATCGCTTCAATTCTTTTGCTTTGGTACGATTACATATCTTTTGAATACATATAAAAACTTTTTTGTTCTTTGAAGTATTTGTGGTGCCAGACATCGGATAGGTATACTAATATTTGTTGATTAAATATAATACCCATGTAGCCGATAATGGATGAATAATGGAAAATGATCCATTATTTTCCATTATTTGAAGAAAAACATGAATTAATGCATTATAATTAATTATTTTTTGACTTTTCAATGCATTTCAATGCATTATTTCTAATAATGCTGAAAATGAAGGATAATGCCTAAATTTTCAATGCATTGTAATGCATTATTATAAAAAAAAATGCATTATGATGCGTTGATAAATCAATGTATTGCAATGGATTAATTAAAAATAATGCATTATAATGCATGAAATAGGTTGCATTATCATGTAATTGCATCCATTGCATTTCTATTGTAAAATAATGCATTGCAATGCCCATTATTTCATAAAATCGGCTACATGGGTAGCATTAGCTCAAAAAGTCTAAACAAATTTCAATTTTCAGTTGTCGAGCTAGAAAAACAGAATCAGCAACTAACAAAAAAAAATTGTAATTTTTTACCATAAAAGTCCTATTAGAAGGCCACCCCTAATAGAAGGCCACCCTGAAAAGAGCGATGTGAATTTCCATAATAGAAGGCCATGGCCTTTTATTCTGGGGGGGGGGTTTACTTGATTTTTATATATCTGCCGTTTTAATTTCAATGTAGTTTTTTAGAAGAAAATTCTAGATATCAGGTGATACCATCTTGTTCAATTGGTTCTACATTTTTTCTTTGTTAAAATTCAACCAAAGCTGTTTTCGATGATCATAATTTGATATTTTACTTTGCAGAATATAAAGACATCGTCTTGCTTTGTGTCCAACTCTAATACTCAATGATAGTTATTTGTGCTCAAAGAAAAACAAATTCTAATATTTTAGGTAATTAAGTTTTGCAAAATATTTTTCGTTCTTGTGTTTCTAAATGAGTTACCCTGTATAGGGTACGGTTAAACGTGCATAAAAATATAGATTGTTTACTCAATATATTGATCTTCGATTTTGTTTTTTTCATTTTAATTTAACTGTAATTGCGACTGTATGTGTCCATTAACATTATATAATTATTTTATATCAAACACTCGTCGTTTCCTTTCGAGTGTATTTATACGCTATTATTTTGATTATCTCCTTCACATTACTTATATATTGTACGTGCAAATATGTTGTTATTAAGCTTATTTTTTGTTCATTTTTCTTTTAGTAATTTGTTACAACAAACAAATGAGCCTACTACGACTTATTACTGAAGATACCTGGCTGCTTCAATTATTTGCAAATCAGATTAGTTATTTCTCATTTGCTATTCCAATTGCTATTCTTTTTCTTATTTAAAAAAAATCGGCTTATAAAAGATGTAAGTATTAATAATATAGATGTTTCGGATTCATAAAAAAGTAGAAATATCAATACTTTATGAAACATAACTTAAAATTTATCTTACTGAAAAACAAAATTGATTGTCTGACACTGCTATGTGATAATATATGCTAATGAAATAATGTTGTTTTTAATAAATTGCCAGAAAAAGTGTTTGAAAGAAGTGCATCAACATATATCAACATACGAGGAAAAAAAACTACATATTTTGTTTTTCTTGACAAAGTAAATTATATACCTTATCAAAATGAAATGATCTTTCGAGGTTTCACGCATGGCTAGAAACAATTAACTGAGACAGCTTCAGCATGGTTTCTTTAGATCCACTGAAAGATTATATCTACAACATGTTTGCAATAGAATCATTTAAAATTAAAGATAATCTAGCACTGGGTGCGTATTAGCTAGCTAATAATGCTGATACCAAGGGTAGATCAAAACACGAAAACTTGAATGATAGACAGTCAAAAAATCTTTTAAACTCATCAAATCTTATAACTGTTTTCAAAATGCAATCTTTTACAAACACATCATCCTTTACTCATAAACAAAATAACAGTTCATAAGATCAAATTATAGAAGATATGCATTTTCCTCTTTTTTAGGAAAAAACAATATCTTCGTCTCTCAGTAATACATTAACACATTGTAGTTTCTGTAAACACTTCAATCAAAAAAATAATATTACAATGTATTTTTACTCTTTTAAGGGCCACAACCATTGCGCTGACTTATACGGTTACTCATCCATCTTTTCATATCGAATACATTCAATTCATCACTATCAGATAATAATGATAATAAAGGAATCATACTTCACCAGTCGAAACAAATTCAACAACTTCAAATTTTACTCGTTATCGTTTTTTCAAACTAATTTTCTCATTTTTTGGTCTTCAAATTTCTTATCTATTATGGGGTTTATTACAAGAACGTATTATGATTCGCACTTATGATAATGAAAAATTTACAAATTCTCAATTTCTTGTTTTTGCGAATCGATTTTTAGCTGTGATAGTTGCTTATATATCATTAAAATTGTTTTATCCAGCAAAAAAAGTAGTATCATCAGGACCACCATTATATCAATATATTAGTTTTCCTGTTCAAGTTATTGCTAAAAGTATAAAGACAATACCAGTTATGATTGTTGGGAAATTTGTTGCAGGTAAAACATATCCATTAAGACAATATTTATTAACGTTACTGATGGCTGTTGGTGTTGTACTATTTTTATCTGGTTATCATGAAAATGATACACTTAAGCTACCACTGAAAAAAGCAACGCAAAAGATAACAACAATAAATGGAATGATATTATTGACATGTTATTTAGTAAGTTCAATATTATAAGAAAAGTCTGCTAAAGTAGACGACACTATACATGTCGACCATTAAAGGAACTGCAGTACACCTAATTTTTTATTCAAGTAAAAGAATATACATTTTCCTAAGAACTATCAAATAATAAAATTTATCGATTTGCAGTCATATCAGGTTTCTTCGAATGGTCTAAATTGGATCAACATTTTGTTGAGAAAACTTCGCACCCTGAATTTAAGTGTAATGGTTGAATTATGTTGATCACTATTCGGATTGAAGGATTCATTTCATTCGAAACTATTTATCGAAATCATTTTTAAGCAATGAAATATTACTATATACAGGTCAACAAGAAATTGAAATTATTCTAGTCTAACTGTTATTATTCAACTCTGAACAATCTTTGTCCCTTAATTCACTGTAAAGGTTTTAATCATGGTAGCTCATTGAGTCTTATAATTAGCTTTACTCATTTTGATGTTTTACTTCTTCAGTGTCTTTGGATTACAGGAACTAAAATGAATAGAAGAGGTAAAGAGAATAAATGGAGTAAAAGAAGTGAAGAAACTAAAGGGATAAAGATTGTTTACATGTATACAGACAAACTTAGAGAAGTATCAATATGATTTCTTATAGATTGCGCTTTTTTGTCGTAGATTTTCGATTCTTTTACATCAAGCTATCAAAAACATGTATTTGATAGTTATGCGATATCATTTCTTCATATGATGCTTCGTGTTAATTGTATCTCAATGGTTCTTACTTGCTCATCCCTTATTCTTAGTGATACTCTACTTGAATGTATATTATTTATGCAACGACATCAATCATTTCTCATACATGCATTTGCAACATCAATATGTTCATCAGTTCGACAATTATTTATATTTTCAACAATAGAAGAATTTGGTCCAGTTATATTTACAATAATAATGACTATATGGCAAGCATTTAGTATTCCTTTATCATGTTTATTCTATGATCATCATTTAAGTTGGTATTCGATTCTTGGTATACATTTAGCATTTTTATCTATTTTTATTCATGCATATATCCAATTTAAAAGAAACAAACAATCAAAGAGTAGCATCGTTTAAAATTGAATATCGGATTCTTTTATATCTTTTATCGATTGAACGCCCGATACTTACATTATTTGGTCGTTTTTGCAGAAAGGTAAAGAAAGATGATAGAAAAATCATGATTGTTGTGAAATTTGAATATATTATTATAATATATTTTATTTTTCATTGAAATAAAAGAATATATTGTTGTTTTCCTGTTGTATATCTTGTCATGGTGAATAGTCATTGTGTTGATCAGTGTATCTTGAATTTTTATTGTAAAATATTAAATTAATGAATCATACGTATTTAAAATCTTAAATAATGAATTTATATTGATTCTACAAGTGGAAATTGATGTTAAAAGATCTAACTGTATTTAGATTAAACAAGACATACTGAGCTCGTAGATAAAATTATTCAAAGTATAATTTATGAAACTTTTAAATCAGTAAATATTTGTTGTAATCAACCTATTTTTTTCGAACATCTATGAAAGGCTGTTATAACTTTCGTGCATATATATGAATTGATAATACGATATTAAGTCTCCAATTTATAGGATCTAAATTCATTATAATTTTTGAAATCGTGTTAGTTATTAACAACTAATTTTCATCAATGATATAGATTATTACGGTAGATTAACTGGTTTGCTTTTGTTTATCTGCGATGAGAATAACTAGAAAATGATGTCAACGATAACATTTTTTTTCTTTATTAAGAATGTAGCTACTATCGATTTTTTATATTAACCATGATGATCATTTTTTTTGCTCTATCTGAAGCTGTAACTGAGATTCATGAAATAAAAAGCAAATGTTTTGGAGTTAGTGGAAAATTCTCGTTTTTTAGTTTTTTTTCTGATCTATTCCATTTGATTTTGAGGCTCGAGTTTCACATTAAACAAAATCTAAGTATAATTTCGGAAAGAATGATCAAAACTAATGACAACTAGCATGAGAATTACTAGGAGTTCAGTAGTTCTCAACATTAGAAATATTCTAACCTCGAATTAGAAATTCAAAGAATTGGTTTATTTCTGCTTACAAAAATGCATACTCAGTATTGAGAATTACCGAACTTCTAACGATCCTTCATGCCTATCAGGATCAAGGTTGAACGCTCTTTTCGAAGCTATTTTAAGATTTTGTCTAATAAAAAACACAGGTCTCAAGATTAGCTCGAATAGGCCACAAGAAAAAAACAAAAAAATAAGAATTTCCAATCGATTTCGAAAGCTTTGTTCTGTATTTCATGAATTTCGACTACAGTTGTAGATAAAACAAAACAAAAGCTGGTCATAGTTAATATAAACAAAGCATGGGACTATTCTTAATACTAAAAAAAACTGTCATGGTTGACATCATGTTCTAGTAATTGATACATCCATAATGTGAGATGTGAAAATGATAATCATTATCTCGTGATCTTTTATATGACATAAAAAAACAGTTTCTTTTCAATTTCTAATAACAAAATAACTCATTGTTGGATACAGAATTGTATCGTTTTTTAGTATTAATTCATATTATTATAATTAAAAATAACCTGCCTGCAGAGGTGGTGGAACGTTTTTAAATCAGGTACAATTCTATGGGAGTTTATTGGTTATCTTCGATAAACTTGTTTACATATAATCTTTATATAGACCTGAGCAAGATTTAGGTAGTAAACTGATTCAGACTAATTAAATGTCTTGTTGTTATGAACAAGAATATATTATTTCGCTATGTTTTGTGTCGAAGGAGTTTCTAACTTTTTCAAAACTACAACGATTTCAAAAAGTATAAGAACCATTTATTTCACATTAGACTATTTCATACTCAGAATTTACATAGTTTTTTCTTCGACCGGACTGGACTGGTCTGTTTGATAAATTAATTAACCAACTAGTAGTTCTTTCGACAAAAAGACTACAATTCCATGAGAGTATACAACGTAAAATTCATATAACTTTTGAAGTTTCTAATAAAATCAATATCTATTTTACTCCGGTACGTTCTATATACACTGATATGGAAACGAAATAAGAACTCTTTCAAAACTTTTCATTGAGTAATTCAACATCAAATGCTTTGTTTTGTCTAACTTTCTTCAATAAAGTATCGTCATAGTTACATGAAACTAGTAGTTGGCATAACTTTCATAATAGAAGAAAGTCTTTTCTCAAATTTTTGCCATGAAACCATAGAGGTGAAAAATTTTTCATTCAAACCAAATTTAACTTCTGATTGGTTGCTAATTTTTCATGAGCATAATAAATTCATGCAGCATGATTCGAAGTTCACATCGTATGATAAGATAGCGTAAGCTTCATCTTTATAAAAAATTTTTCGCTCATATATCTGAATTGGTAAAATCATTAAAAGTCGAGCAAAATAGATCATCTTTAGTACCCTAATAATTGATAAAAGAAATCGATTGGTTTTAAAAGTTCAAACAGCTTTGACCGATTTCCAAGCTCGTAATAATTTTCTAGTAAGCTATTAAGATAAAGTAAATTTGATGTATCAACATGAGAAGAAATTTGAGTTGCAGGGGATATTTCACATATCTTGTGTTGAAAGAGATAATGTTTCACTTGTTCTTTATTTTTAAAATACTCAGGTATTGATGGTATTTATTGATTATAATCTATAATATTGACCCTGATACTAAACTAGAAAGTACTTTTTTTGTAGTATTAGTATTTTAATGTGAAATCACATTTTGATCCATTACAACAAACAATATGATCATAATCTTCTGTCGTGTTGATAGATTTATGGTGTTTAATGTATGCAGAAAATATGAAAGCTTGAAATTCAGATAAGTGTCAAAATAAACACTATTTCAGACAATTTTTTTCAAATATTTTTTGCAGCCAAAATTTTTCTGATGTTTCATTAATCATTACAAAAGTGTTTCACTCAATAAAACAAAGTGAATGACAATACCACACAAGAAAGGAACTACGGTCAAATCACAAAATTTTGTATAAATAAATGAAAAGACCTCATTAATAAACATAATGACGTAGTTAGTTAGATCTACTGCTCTATTTATTGTTTAATTTTCTTCATCACAATGTATACCAAATGTGGCGAAAGTTTTGCATGTAATTCTGTTCAGGAACATGATAAATGTTGATTCTTTTTTTTCAAAAGATGCGTCATTAAGTGTTCTACTCAGATCACAAGAGAACGTTGATAATTGTTGACTTTTGGTTTTAATAATTACTGTTCATTAATTTTAGCTATAATGTTTAAAAGTAATCAGAAACCTAGTTTAGCCTTCAAAGCATGATGATTATTATCTATCTTCATCTCAAATACCAAAGAAAGAAGAGCACCTGTGTCAATTGATCTAAATGTTTCGCCTTGACATAAAATATTGTTTGGCTGTATCGCTTTCAAACACATTATCGAAAAATAATGAGCTCGATGTACAAATCGTTCGACTAAACTTTTTCGACTGTTGAAAGAAATAGTGACACAAAAATGAGCTTACCAAATAATACAGTGATCATTTGGCTTCAACTAAAGACGATAAAAATACGTTGAGAAGAAATCAGTACTGATCTCGTAGGAAGTAATCTTAATTCGGATGTGGCTAAGCCTAATAGTATTCACTTTAGGTAAGGATTATGCATAATCTAACCTACATATTCTGTTACTCCTGCGTATCGGCATGATTTCTACTACATTCCTAACAGTACCAAAAATAATGAATACATAAGAAAATGATGAAACACTAGGTGAAAATCTAAATGAATTCGTTTGATATGATAAATAAACTCAAACAATCTTATCATCACTATCTGTATGAATTATTGTTGAACATTGAAATATATTTTTGTTCATTCCTTAACCATTGTACTTATTGATGAGAAACTCCGCCATCTATGTTATAGCTAAAGGCACATTCATATTCAATGCATGACGAGTAACAAATCATATTCTTTAAATATATATTAAGAGAGAGAGAGTACCCCATTCGTCTTATACTCGATGTGTTGTCTTCATTTCTCTCTCTATTCTGATTTATCTTTTCAAGTACAAAATTTTTCGTTATCAATGTCCTTTAAAGGTCAAGTGTCTTTACATGTTTCGTCTAATATTACCCTTATTATCACAAACAATCATTAGAAATTATTTTTGTTAATAACTACCAAATCATTTTCTCCAATAAAAAAAGCGTTAATGAGAGACTTTAGTGTTTCCGAGAAACATTAATATTAACATTGTATTAGATCAAAAGAGAGCAAAAAACTTTCAATAGTAAACAAAAGAAAGACCTATATGTTTTTAAGCATCGTTTACACATCAAACGACGTCATTTTTTTGTGTCAATATTAACTATTTTGATGAATCGATCATGTCCTTCTATTAAACCCATAGATGCACTTTTATTTATTTGTCTTTATTTTTTTCTTGTTGTTGTACTTCAAAACAAAAAATAATATGAAAAATATTTTCTTCTATAGACCAAAGAAAAAAGAAAGCCTATTATGATAATATAAAAGAGTGATATTTTATATAATTTTGTTTTTATAAATTTCTTAGATTGATCATGGCTTCATCATCGATGAGTAAAACTGAAATTCATAAACAAAAACAATCTACATCAAAAGATGGTGATAATCAAAAGAAAACTGATCTTGGTGCAAATATTATTCTTATTGGAGCACCTGGCAGTGGTAAATATTCTTATAGTTTTTTCCTTTTCAATTTTTTTTTTGTTTTTATTGAAAATAAAATACTCAAAATTGAATTTTAATATATCTTTAGGTAAAGGTACCCAAAGTGCTCAATTAGCAGAACGTTATCAAATATGTCAAATATCAACAGGTGATTTACTTCGTCAAGCTACTCAAGATAAAACATCAGGAGAAGGCGAAAAAATTCGTCGAATAATGGAATCAGGAGGACTTGTCGATGATGAAATAGTTATGTCATTAATTGATAAAAGTTTAAATAAGCCTGAATGTCGTAATGGATTTTTATTTGATGGTTTTCCTCGAACAATTTATCAAGGTGAACAATTAGAACAATTACTTCAATCAAGACAAAAACGAATCGATGCAGTTTTGGAATATGCTGTATGTAATCATAACAAAGCAACAAATTTTAAATATTGAGTACGACTTCTGTTTGCTACTATCAACAATAACGTGATTACGAATCGTGTTTTTCACGAACACTTTCATGAGTATGCCAAACGCAAAAAATCACAAGGTTCTTAGAAGAAATTCTTTTTCGTTTGTAGAACTCGTTACACTAATCATTTCGATTAAAAAAATATTCAACTTTGTTCAATAAATCATAGTGCTAGAACCCAAATACTCAAAAAATTTCGCCTATTTCTGACTGATGCTGAGTAATAGTTGATGTTTTCGAGTATTTTGCTTCTAGGACAATGATTTATTGAGTAAGTTTGCAAAGAATTCATTCGAAAAATTTTTATAGCTAATCATCCTCTAATGATTTGTTCAATCAATTAGAATCCATTATTCTGCAGTAGTTAATTTGAGAAAAGACGGTCATTTCTAGTCTTAATCGAGTATATATATATATGTCATTTCTTTTTCATCATTTTTTTTTCAAACAAGTAAAAATAAAAACTAGTAAGCATTATTATTCGACTCATGTGCATATATATTCCCTTAGCTATAATTAGAAACGTTATCGTTGAATTTTTTGTTTGAAATATTTGTTGCCATCATTATCGATTTTGAAGTGTATCTATGTACATTACCATTGCATTTATTGAATTAAAAAATCTTACAATATAGACGAATCTATAGTTAAAATATTCTCAAATTAAAGAGTACACAAAAAAATAAATGCTTTTTTTTAGAAAAGAATGATACTGATATGCTATTAGCATGTGTATGTGTAACTATTGATATCCTTATTTTATTCTTACAGCACTTGGTATCTTAACAAAAAAAAACACCTAAGAAAATAGAAAAGTTTCTGACACATCATAATAAGATATTACTGATAAATGAAAATTTTTGAATTTTATAATAGTTAGATAGTAATTCTATTTGAGTCTTAGTTTGTCAATTCCCTTTGAGATTCAACTGTAATTAGGTTACTTAAATATTTGAAGGTGTAAAATAATCTTCAGAATATTTTTCTTGTTCATTTTATTTTGTAGTTAAATATTTCCTGAAGATGATTGACACAAAGTTATTTTAAATTAATAAAATAGATAATAAATAATCTTAGAATAATAATATTTAAATCGAAACGAAAGTAATATTGAAAAGTATTTTTCAAGGTTGTACTATTCAAGCTCTGTATTTTGTCAAGAATATGTGAGAAAATTTTCAGTTTAGAACATTACTTTCTATGTGTAAATCGAAACAGATAGCAACGTTCAGAATAGCACATAGCCTGGCGTTTTGAGAAACACAAAAACTAATATAACTTATGACATCCGGAGAAAATCAATAACATTCCATTGAATTTATTCACTTCAAGAACGATAGTAAAGTCGTATATAAAGAGAAATACCATACTAATTTAACAGTAACAGTTCTTTTCGAATTTCATTTAGTAGCTATCAGTTGGGTTACAGGCGCAATAATATTTTTAACATATATAGCCGGAATTTTATTTCTATTTATATCTTGCAAATGAAATACTCCAGATACAGACATTTTCATCTTATTATTAGAATCCATCCACGCAATAGTATATTAATGAATTACTTCGGATACTATAGCTTATGTTAGTTTATGTGTTCCTCAAGTGTCACTCGACGTATTCTTTCTCATTACACTATTTTTTTTTCGATTTACACATAGAATCTATATATTTAAAATTCAAAGTCTTCTCTAATACTTCCGACAAAAAAAACAACGGCTAAGTAATATAATCAAAAGTAATCCTGTTCAGTAACACTTTAGCTTTGGTTTAAATGATATTATTCTAAGATTATTTATTGTCTATTTTCTTAATTTAAAATGACTTTGCTTCAATCATCTTCAGAAAATATTTAGCTACAAAATAATATGAACAAGAAAAATATGATAAACATTATTCTACACTTTCAAATATTTAAGTAAACTAATTACAGTTGAATCTCAAAGAGGATTGGCAAACTAAGACTCAATTAGAATTACCATCAATTATACAAGCCGAATATTACTTTTTAATAGTCGTATCTTATAATCACGTGCTGAAAAATTTCCCATTTTCTCAAATTTTTTTTGTTTTTTGGTTAAGATACTAATTGGTGTGTTAACAGTTACATATACGCATATAAATAATATGTTGGCTTTTATTCTTTCTCAGAATAGAAGCACTCCTTTGTTGCTTTTTATTTTTTTTAAGTATCCTTTTGTTTGAGGGACACTATATATATATATCCATTGAATTATGTCCTCATCTGAATCAAACTCAACTCATATATTATTTATTAATTAAATTTAGATTGAAGATGATCTGTTAAAACGTCGCATTCTTGGTCGACTGATTCATAAATCATCAGGTCGAACATATCATGAAGAATTTAATCCACCTAAAGAATCAATGAAAGACGATAAAACAGGTGAAACACTTGAACGTCGTTCTGACGATACTAATGAAACACTTACCGCTAGATTAAGTACTTATCATAAACAAACAACACCATTGGTAAAAAGAAAACAATTTTTTTTTTGAGTCATTTTATTTCTTAGATTTTATTAACAGATTGATTTTTATCGTCAACGAAATATTCATCGTTCAATAGATGCAACACAAAAAGTAGATGATGTATCGAAACAATCTATTAAAATTGTTGATTATTTACGTAAACAACCAACATATAAACCATCAACAAGCACTATTCAACAAACCGAAACTGATGATACGTTAACAGTAAAATCAAAATCAATAACAACAAATCAGCGTGATGTTGAGACAAATCGTTTAAGTAATAATTTTCTATTTATATACAATGCAGTGACATCAGTATTACGTGATCGTGGTATTATTTAAAAACAATGAAACACTAATTTTTTTAGAAATACCTAGGACGAGAAAAAAATTAAAGTTTCATTCAACATAAATCGACTAGGTTTACATTTAATTGCCAATCTTTTTGTTTTTCTATCGACACTGGCGAGTTAAGTATTTCTTGTCTTAGATCTATAGTTGTGAAGATTAGATTTGATTTTGCATTCTTTCTATTTCTGGTGATTTTTTCGTTTTTTATGAAATAAAAAAGCAAATCGTCAAACTTCTCTTTTTGTTTGATAAACTAATGATAAAACAAACAGGAGATTGTCACATTACTGTGTTTCTTTTTTTTTATTACAGATGTTTATCAGTATCCGGCTTTTATTATTATTTACAAATATGTCAACAAATTCCATAAAGTAATAAAAAATAATAATAAAAATCAAAATGTGTACTTGCTTTGTTTAGATCAACAAGATGTTTATCTTCATCTACGATAACTCTATTCAATTTTACTGATTCAACTTCCTCAGTTAATGATTGGATAGAAATATCGGATACTGAACGTGATGTTGGAAAATCGAAAGGCGTACTTGTTGAACAAAAAACACAAAAATTTCAACGTGCTATTTTTTTTTCATTACTTAATCCACAACCAAATGGTGCTGCATTTGCTGGTGTTGCTTATCGTAAAAAATCTTTTGATTTAAGTTCATTTACGGGTCTTCAATTATCTGTACGAGCACAAGGTGAAAATTTTATCTATAAAGTTATTTTAAGACATCATAATGAAGAATCATCTTTACAACCATCATATGAAATCTTTTTTGAAGTAAGAAAGACATAGTTCAAATTAATATATTGAAATTTTCTTTTTAGTTGCCTAAAAATGAACCAACTGAACAATATTTATCATTTAATGATTTTAAACCATATAGTCGTGGTAAACCATTAGATCCAAATACAACACCACCATTAGATCGAACAAATATAACAAGTATTGGTTTACAAATTGTTGGTGGTGTTTATTCGCCTATTAAACAACACGGTACATCTAGTTTAGAAATTGATTCAATTAGTGCAGTTACATGTGAATGAAAATCTTTATTGTTTTGTTTTTTTTACTCTTTTTTCCTTCGACACAACATACAGATTGTTTTAGAATAAGAATCAAAGTCAACTTTTTTTTTTGAATAAAACCTTTCATCTACTATTAGTTTTCATATTGCAATAATGATTAGTAATATTTAGTTTTGCGTGCATCTCTATTCTTTTCGTTTCATTTCAATGATGGCCTTTTAATACCGAGTCACGTTAGAGCCATAAATAAATATCACTGTATTCTTTTGGAATACTAAAAATCCAAAAAAGTATCATTATTTCCTTGTTTTTTGTCCTTGTTCACAAATGAAAAATTCACAACAAAATCCTTTTTTTTTGTTTTTAGATTACATTGTAAAAAAATTGATTTCTTATGTGTTTATTATGTGCGCATTGTCTTTTAGATCGAATATCATTTTTTAGGGTCTTATCATATAGCTTAAAGCAAATGAAGTAACAAAAGAAAAAAACATTGCGAATCGGATCAAATATAAACAATAAATGTGCACACACTTGTTATAGTTATTTATTCTAGTGAGTACACGAAAGTCAGTTATTGTTTTTTCTTCCTATTATTATTTTTGAATAAAAAATCTATAAAGACTTTGTCATCGAGAGTATTCGCAAATAGTGATTGATTATTAAGCAGTGGGAGAATGAAGGAAAGAAAAGAAAAGACCTGATGTTTTTAGCATTATCAGCATGTTATTACAATTTTTTTTTCATGTCTATAATTGTATTCCATCGTAACGAATAAAATAAAAATGATCTAATCATTTTAAATAAATATTATATAGTTGAGCTTGAATATTGATTTGTTAACATCTCTTTTTTAGTTTTATTATTATCTTATACACGAAAAAACAATGTCAACAACATTGGATGATCATCAATCAAATAATCATGTAACTGGTTTCGATATAACAACATTAGTTATTTATTTTATATTATTAGTTGGCACTGGATTTTATTCAATGTTTAAATATAATCGTTCAACAGTTAAAGGATATTTTTTAGCTAATAGACAAATGCCATGGTTATGTATAGGTGCAAGTTTATTTGCATCGAATATTGGCGCAGAGCATTTTATTGGCCTAGCAAGTTCTGGTGCTGCTAAAGGTAAAAGAAAAATCGATAATAAATTGAATTCTCTACAGATATATTTGCATACTTTCAGGTATAAGTGTTGGAGCATTTGAATTAAACTCTATTGCAATTATTCAATTACTTGGTTGGGTATTTTTACCAGTTTTTATAGCCACTGGTGTATCAACATTACCTGAATATATGAGTCGAAGATTTGGTGGACAACGTATACGTATCTATATAGCTTGTCTTTATCTTCTTCTATATATATTAACAAAAATAAGTGTAAATATATATGCAGCATCATTATTTATTAATTATGCCTTTCATTGGAATATATATTTAAGTGTTCTATTTGTTCTTCTGTTAACTGCTTTATGTACTGTATCAGGTGGCTTAGCAAGTGTTATGTATACAGATACAATACAAGCTATTATAATGATTTTTGGAGGATTTGTTGTAATGATTTTATCATACAAAGAAATAGGTGGTATGTCAAATCTTTATCGACGATATTTGAATGCAATGCCGTCGGTTAATGATGATCAACAATATGGAAATATGACAAATATATGGTTAAATCAAACAAATCTAACAGCAACATGTGGTAAACCAACAATGAAATCATTTCAAATGTTAAGATCAATATCTGATCCAGATATGCCTTGGCTAGGATTTTTTCTGGGACACACACCGAATACAATTTGGTAAATGTATTACTTTTTTTTTTGTTTTCTTTTAAAGCACGTTTAATTATATTCGGATGGGCAAAAGAGAATTTTTCTATGTTGAAATTTTGAATTCTTTTAATATTTATTTGAATAGAAAAAACGAATCAATATTGTAAGCATTATATGATGGTAACAGAAAAAAAAGACTAGTTTTATGCTTGTACATCTAACGAGTTATTAACGAGCTTAGTGATTTGTTCATCAAAGCAACAGAATAATGAATGAAATAAACTTCTCATGCTTTGAATTTATATCGAAGCCTTGTAAATTCCCAACATGTTGTAATATGAATAGCATTAATAAACCAAAAAACATAAGAATCAATAGAATTATATTTCATTAGGTATTGGTGTTCAGATCAAATGATGGTACAACGAGTATTGGCGGCCAAAACAATTTCACATGCTCGTGGTGGAACTTTATTAGCTGGCTATTTAAAAATTTTATCATTATTTATGATAATTATACCTGGTATGATAAGTCGAACATTATATCCCAATACTGTTGCATGTAATCAACCATCCGTTTGTGAATCAATATGTCATAGCAAACGAAGTTGTACTAATATCGCTTATCCAACATTAATATTAAAAATTTTACCAAATGGTTTTAAAGGTGTTATGCTTGCTGTTATGCTTGCTGCCTTAATATCAGGTTTAACATCAATATTTAATTCAGCAAGTACAATATTCACTGTTGATATTTATCCCAATATATTATCATTTCGTCGAACAAAAATAAAAAATCGAGAATTAATGATTGTTGGTCGTTTATTTGTTATTCTTATGACATTATTTGGTATTGCATGGATACCAATTGTTATACAAATGCAAGGTTCAGAATTATATATTTACATGCAACAAGTTATAGGATTTTTAGCACCACCAATAGCATGTATTTATTTATTATCCATTTTATGGACACGTGCAAATGAACGTGGTGCATTTGCTGGTTTAATGATCGGTTTTGTATTTGGTTTAATAAGAATGATACTTGAATTTTCACAACAACCACCATTATGTGGAGAAAAAGATTCAAGATTTTGGTTGATAAGAAAAGTTCATTTTATGTATTATGCTTTATTTTTATTTTGGTTAACTTTTTTCACTTGTGTTATTGTATCATTATATACGGAACCACCAACAAAAGATCAATTATATCGAACAACATTTTGGACAAGAAATCAAAAATCAGATATAGAACTGATCAAAATGAAACAACAAATCAATAATGGAGCTTCAATTGTTAGGTTAAGAATACTTGAATATATTTTATAATCCGTAGACAGATTTTATAAATACAGTCATAAAGATAAATAGATAGAAATAAAGTACAAATATGATTAAGATCTCACAACAGAACTATTATTGTAGAAAAATTCTAGCAAATCCGACATTATTTAAGAAGTTTCTATCTATTATTTTTCTGATTATGTTATGAAATAGTCTTACGAGGAAACCTTTTCGACTTGAAAATCACTTTTGAATTCGAACTCTATGCATAAAATAAATTCTAGCAAGATATCAAAAAAAGTTTAGCCTACAATACAGTATGTATTCAAGAACCGAATGACGATGTTTTGACATGAAATTTCGTCTATAGATGGACATTCTTGTAACTAGAATGTTCTATTCGCAAGACAGTAAATTCCCAAAGATTACTTGTATTTAAGAAAGAAATATTCTTTTGAGTTTATTCTAATTACAAGTTAGCATATCTATAAGTAAAATTTCAGTGAGACAACTATAACTCTGTAAGAAAGACTTAAACGTTCTTATCCTTTTGGAAGTTTTTTAGTATTTCATTGGAGCTTAACTTATGTACAAAGTTCGAACTCAAAAGTAATTTTCAACTTCGGAAGACTCTTTCATTAGTTGATATTTCAATTATGAAATATTTTATTTATTTATTAAACATAAAATTAATTAACCTTAATGTAATTCATTGTCTATTTTAGTCGATCACTTCCATGTAATGAGATACCTTCAACATTTCCAATAAATCATACTACTTCAAATAATGCAGTTGAACAATTACAACCTGAAATATTTCTTCCATCATCATCATCACTTGGTCCTGGAACATTACTTATAAGTCGTGATGGTGAAGATGACGTAAGTAGTGTTCGTATCAATACAGCACGAACAAGTACAACTGACATAGAATATAATAGTATAAACAAAAAACTTTCGATTGACTCAAAATCAAACATACCAAATGGTTCCAATGATCAAGAAAATGAAAAAAATGGTTGTGATATATTAGTCCTTTTAAAATCATGTTGGTCATGGTTTTGTGGTTTGGATGATAGTGATGATATTGATAACCGTGATGAATTGACTGAAGTGAATGTATCTTATCGGTGTCTTCAAAAAAAATTAGAAACTAGTGATATGAATCAAGGACATGATTCTGTATTACAACAGATAACAGAGCGACCAATTATAAAATGGATATTGAATAGCAATTTAGTACTTGTTATTCTTGTCGAAATAACTCTATTTACTGTTTTTTCATTGCCTGTTAAGTATACGTTTTTGCGTGATTAGTTGAATGCTTTTTTTTCAGTTCTAACACTCAGATATCTCTATATTTTTCTTGAATGTCAACTTCAATATTATGTTTCATTAATCAGTTCGTTTTCTTTTTTGAATATTGTGCACTTACAATCTTTTTTTGTTGTAATATGACTTATTATTTTGCATTTTATTCGGTGAAGAGTGAAATTTCAATAAAATAAGTCACTTAATATATATTTGCTTTTAACACAAAAAAAAATAATTGTTAAATGTTCATTTTATTTGAGTTGAAATTTATTCAGTTTTATTTTTATAAGATCTTTATTTTTTTTTTCTCTATATCAATAAAGTAATTTAGAGCTTCTACAGTTAATCATAATCGAGTTAGATTAATTTTCTATACGATGCATTGAAAAGAGTTTCAAGAAAAATGATTTCTAATCTTTATTAAATTTGATTTGTTTCCTAATACGATTTCTCGAAGACTTAAATTAATATAATTAATTCGATCCATATTCTCATCATAATCAACATCAAGTTAAATACCTTTCTTAATATTTACTTGAAATAATTGACAATTCTATTCTTCAATGGCACTGAATTTGTAAATACCAATCTTTGTTTTTCATTCAGAGATATAACTTAGCACTGAAGGCAAAGGAGCCGCAGCGTGCGGACGAGTTTTATAAGTAGAAAGATGTTATGCCGATTTTTTCCATAAGTTACATTTCTGTTGTCATCTGTCATCGAAAGAGAAATAAGATACCAACTGTGTATTTACCGTAGAATGTTTGAAGTGTTCAACGACATCTATTGCATATTTATTCTATTGATACAGTGTTTCGGACCATTCTCATCCATACCTTTGTCCCGGCGTAATTTGTTTCTTTCGAAATGCTTGTTTTTTTTCTCTTTCATCTTACATTAAATAACCTTCGTCTTACTCAGTCGTCATTTGACATAATCGCTTTTGTTTTAGAGTTTTAATATGTTTTTTAATACAATGCAGTTCTTTTCACTCATAATTCTTATTCTACCTAATCTAATCATAAGTGAACCACTTTCATTAACTGATAAAACATGGAAAGATATGTTATGTGGTCAATGGATGGTTGAATTGTAAGCTAAGTTCTATTATTCACTGATCTTATCTATTTCAATTATTATTTATAGTTATGCACCATGGTGTCCATCATGTCAACATTTCACACCTATATGGCATGAGTTTTCTAAAGCTATGGTATCGAAAGAAGTAAAAGTAGCTGCTATTGATATTAATGAATACCCTTCATTATCGGGTCGTTTTCGAATTTCTGTCTTGCCTACAATTTATTAGTAAGTCAATTTTATGATTAACACAACAATAGATATATAGTAATGGACAGAAGTCTTCACCCCACATGTAGGTCAGTGACCAATATTTGGTACTGCGATTGCTAAAGTAAAGAGATTATTATGATGAACGCTATCTATTTGTTTGCTTCTAACTTTTTAACTAGAAAAATAGTTTCCATTACAGTTTGGATTGTTTTTTATTAAATGCACAACTAATTCTTGATATTTTAGCATACAACAAAAACTCCATCTATGGTTGTTCTTTACTTCAAGATGAGTTTCTTTTGCTTAAAGATTCTAATCTCTGAATGTTTTTGAGTCCTCTACACCTGTACAATGATCATTGAGACACTATTCCTTTTAGTAGACGATCCTTTCTGATAGTTGTAGGTGATTACGTTTAATTATTGACCAATCTTCTCTGGAAATCAGAGCTTATGCCATCGAACTTATTACTAGGTTATGGTTTTCAAAGGATAGCAAATAGTTTTTCTTCTGACTCTCAACCACGACTCTAGAAATTATTGACTGACTCACAATTATCTTTGTCATATACGTAATCGAGATGCAGCTGTATCTCTAACCTACATTCTTGTTGTAGTAAAGACTTTTGTCCATCAGTATTGATGTAAAAACTTACATCTATTTGATATTATATTTAATCTATTAGTTACCAATAAAAGCTAAACATATTTAAAGTAGAATGGTTGTACATCATGTACGATTGTATTTTACTGCCGAAGTTTAGTATAGGTCGTTATTAAAAAGCGATAATGTAGAAAGCTTCTATTGGTTCAGCTCATAACGCATATATATGTGTTAGCTATAATTAAATGATTAATTATGTTGAAAAGTTTATTATATTTTTTTATCAACATCTAGTGTTCGTGATGGTGTTTTTCGTCAATACAATGGTGATCGTTCATTAGATCGTTTGAAAAATTATATTGAATTTGAAGAATGGCGACGTACAGAACCAGTTTCATCAATTTGGGCTCCAGATAGTATTTTGTATGTTAATATAAATTATTCATATTAATTTTCTATTATGTTCTTATTTTTAAGAATGTCAATGCTTAGTTCAGTTTTCGATGTATCTGTATTAGTTAAAGTTTGTACCATTCGTTTTTTTATTTTATTTTATTAATGTAAAATTTTCTATGTTATTGTAGAATGCATATATACTTTTACAAGATCAATATGGATGGCCAGCATGGCTTATTTATATATTCTTTACAGTAGCTGTTATTGTTATTGGACTTATTCTTGGATTTGTATATAAAAATTTTTTTGCAATCTATTATATATTTAACTTTTATTTTTCCTAAGGGTGTTCTTATGATTATTGATTATTGTGTGACTGGTACAGTTAAAGATGATTTAAGTAATATACCAGATGATTCAAAAGATATTGAAGATTTAGTATGTATAAATAATTCTATAAGATATATTAAAAAGAATTTTGTTATTTTGGAGGATGAAAATGATTCACAAAAATTATTAAAACCTAAAAAACAAAAAAAAGCAACGGTATCATTACCAACACATGTAACATCATCAACACCACAACGTACAACAACAATAAAAAATCGCTCATCACCTGTTATTGAAACTCAAGATGATGAAGCATTGCTTAATGAAATTCTTACAGCTGATCAAGATGATAATGATGATAGTGAAGGTTTAAATGCATCAGATATAGGACCAGGAACTGATGACGAAGAGCAAACTACAACAACAAATGCATCTATACGTCAACGACGTGTAAATAAATAAAGGAAAAATTCATTTTTTTTTCAATCTGTCTCAGAAATAATACTTCTGTGATAATATTTAACAAAAATCAAGAACCATACTTAATGTTTATTCTTACTTGATGATCTTTTTCTATGAATTGAAAAAAATAATTGAAGTTTTTTTTGTCTTCTGTATATGAAAATATTGACTTGAATTGTCTATTTGTTCTTCGGTGAATTCTATGTTCTGTTTTTTTTTTTGTTCTTCTTGTATAGCCAAAAAAATATCATTTATAATTAGATGAAATATATAGATTTATTAATTTACATTTGATTTTTTAGTCTTTTAAATCAATAGTTGATGAATGAATGTTATACATTTAGGTGTAGTTTTAACACAATAAAATTATGTACTTAACTATCGAAAATTGAATTTAAAATATCATACATAATTAAGATAAATAGAATATTAAAATCCATCTGACTGATATATGGATAATAATTATTATGTTCTATGTAGAGAACTATCGATTTTATCTGTTAACAGATTTAGTTTACATATACCTTCAGCTACTTAATATTCACGGCGTGTTTTGACTTCATGGATCATTGAAAAGAGGATCGGTGAAAATACTTGGAATACATCTACATGTTGAATAATTTCCATTTCAGTTGACATAGAACTAAAATGGATTGTGATTCATGGATAATAATTGATTGATTAGGTAGAAATGAAAGGCTCGATTTAGAATTTCATACCATTTTAAATATCAGGAGAACGTATAAGGATAGCATAGTGAAAAAATATTGGTTTCATTAATAGATATCAATGATTAATGCATATGTAACCTTTTGAATTGATCTAAAGTAAGCACCTCAAGAATGAATATGATTTTGATGTTTTCTTCTTCGTAGGAGGTGAATTTTCATCAAAAACAAGATCATATTCAAAAAAAAAAGTCATTTCATTTAGCAAAATTAGGTTTTGAGAGTAAGATACTATCAGGTCGTCTACAACTTATCCAATCCAGTTCAAATCATTTTTGCTAACGGGATCAATTGGAGTATGTGTCTTGAAGCATTTTAAACTCCATTCACGGATGTGGCATAACAACTGCCAGATGTAGATTTGAGGATAGAATCTTATGTTAATCCACACATCCATAAAGTACAAAAATAATTCCAATAATAACACAAAATAGATAGTAATATATCGAATCTTACTTAGCACCTTTACGTCAGTGACTGATCTAGTCATTTTTGGGTGGTTTCTGCTGAGAAAAAAAGAAAAATGATTTAGAAAGAGAGAGACAGTCATCTTAAATCTCCTCCTTCACTAAATCTGGTGCTGCTTGAAAGATTCTTTAATTATATTCTATGAGTATGATTAACTAAAACATCATATGTTTATGTTAATATCATTTTAAAATGTGTGATTGTACAGGAAATATTTCAAAAGCTTGTTTCACATTTTCTCAGAAAATGTGTTTGACAATGTATCATCAGCATTCTATTACAATAGAAGATGAAGCCAAATAAGAGTTTTTTGCTTAAAAGCTTGTACTCAGAGTTATGGACTCTTGCAGTCTTTATTCTAAAAAAAATCAAAAGACTACCACGAGAGTTGCTAGAACTAGGTATCTTCTAAAAATCAAGAAAACATTGACGTTTTCAGTCGAGACAACCAAATGCCGTTGTTGATATTAGAAGCTTCAAAATGGTTTATGTGTACTCTGTCATCACTCTAGCTCTCATCAAGAAAGACATATAATGTTGATTTTCTTCTGTATATGGCTCTAGACTGCTAATGTGTACAAAGTTTCAACTCAATATCATGGTCTTGATCGAAGATCCTTTATTAAACAGTGGGAGAACTTAAAATATAAATCAAAAAGTAAGAATATCTTATGGAAAAGATCTTACTTCACTATCCAACATCATTCACTTGATATCATATACTATTGTCACATCGCATACAGTGACGTCACAGACGACAGAATGCTACCATATCTTGGCAAATAAATCAATGTTTTTTTCATTAATACAGAATCAATTCACTAAACATGTAAATATTCCTAAATCTTTTTTTAAACTCTTAATCAACAAAAAGCTATTGTCTTTCACTATAAAACTCTTACTGCTCTTCCTTCTATTATGTTTCACCATATATCATATTTAATCAGGTCCTTCATTTCTTCAAAACAAAACAATTATCTATTGACAAGTTTCTCTACACATGTCTTTATATCTCTGCCAATTTAAACATAAATGATACAATTATTAAGCCTAACAACTACTCAACATGTAAATATAATCCACATGTATTTTATGAACCCAATTTTTATATTTCATGTCGTCAAAAAGGACAAAAATAGTTGATCCAAAATGGTCTTTGTAAAATTCATTCAGGCTAAGATAAACTTCAGTGTTCTTAAATATAATATGATGAATATTCTTTAGCAATACCAAATGTCGTGAGGTTTTATCTTCCAGATTATTATGCAGATGTTAATTGTAGGCAAAGACAAAAATTGTTTGTGAACATATATGCAATAGCAAGAGAATGTTTTCAATTGATCAATCGCTTTTGAATTCGGACTCTATGCACGAAGTAGACTTCAGTGGAATGGAACAAATCTCAAAAGAATATATTCTCTGAGGCCTTCTATCTAGAGTTATAGATATTTTAATAGAATTTCAGCCTCTCAGATGGTATATAACAACGAATCGAATAGCAACTTTTTGATCTGAGATTTTGCTTATAGACAAGTCCATTTGTAAGTAGAATGCTCTGAATAAGGTCAGCTCAAAAGAATGGTTCCTTGCCGAAATATTCAAGTCCTAGAAAATAGAAAGTTCTAACATCTTTCGTGAAATGTGAAGAATTTTTGGCACTGTATTATCTCGGTAAATAAACATCTTTTCCAGTCATAATTATCAGAAAATTCTACTGACCGATAGACCTATCTATGAGCAAAAACTCAAGTCGAAATATCGCCAGTATTTTTCATATTCGAGACTAAAATTTTAGTAGAATGCCTATAACTCTGGAAAGAAGGTCTGAGGAAACTTATCCTTTTGAGGTTTTTTTACATCTCACTAAGACCTACCTTATGCATAGAGTCCGAATTTGGGAACAATTGATGAGCCGAAAACGTTTCCTCATAAGTTGTATATTAGCTTAGCTTTGATAAATCGAACAATCAAATAAATGATTTATTGTTTTTTCAAGAGTTTTAAAAACAAACTATTCTACAAACAAAATCAATATTTCAATTGACTTTATTCTTTTTATTCTCACATTTATCATATAGAATAAGAAATGAACATATTCCCTAAAGCATTTCATGTTGTTATTTTCTTTTTTGTACAATGTCGGTCGATGAACAAGACGTTTTGTTGCTCCTCCTGAGTGTCGTCTTTTTCTTTTTAATGTCTTTTATCGTTTGACTAGTATGCTTCAAGCGCCGTTCATTTATAGACATGTATGCATGAGAGATATCACGTCTTAGCATTTCTTTTTTTTTATTCTTCTTCTATTGTTTGCTCATCAATTTATCATTTAATCGTTTTTGATTTTTCATTTTTTCTAGCGACAAATCATCATTATTATCGTCATCAGTTCATCAAGAGACAAAAAAAATAAAAAAATAAAAAGAACATATAGGCAAAGGGATGTCTCAAACATACCTTTATACACGTTCATAGCCTTGAGACATAAAAATAAGATCTATATACACTTTGATGTTTTTGAATGTCGTCTTTTCTTGTGACAATATGTATTGAGCAAGTGTATGATGTCTTTTGAGTGAATGATTGATTATTGTAATGTCGTTTTACTGTACTCAATTAGTTAATGTTAGAAATTTGATGCTTGTATGTTAATGGACTTGAACAAGTATAGTTCGAGAGAACGAATGAAGGAGAATGTATAATTCACACAATCGATCACAAATATACATATATATATACATATGTGGAATAATAAGTCAGGTGCAATTGATTTAAATTGTCTTATAAGAATACAAAACAGAAAGAGAGGATAAGCTAACATTTCCGGTAAATCACTTAGTCAATCTAAAGAATGTTGATACTTAAACTTGATCAACATTGCTGAAGAGTCTTCTTAGTTTCTTGAACAATCTTACAGGTGAAAAATGAGATCAAATTTCTTGATTGTTGTTTATTTTTTTTTTTGTATTTTCGAAAAAAACAAAAAGAATGTTATCTATCAATTGTCTTTTTCGTTTATTTGTTCAAGAAGAGTCTAGTCGTTCACATTTCTCGTTTTTTTCATTTTACTCTCTTTCAACTTGTCTTATTCTTTGTATTCGCTCATTAATCAACATTTTAAAGCGCTTTTGTGTATTATATCGAAAGAAAGAAAAAGTAGGCAGGCGGTAGTTTCAAGGGCTAACGAAAGAGATCGATGCTTTAGATACGTTCATATGTATAAAATGATGAGTGATGTCCCATCAGTAGTAAGAGAGAGAGAGAAAGAGTTCGTTGAATTTGACAAGAAGGATCACTTGTGTATGTATGCAGTTCGAGAACGACTGACCGATCATTTTCACACATCTTTCTCTTTCGATGCGACGATAAGTAAATTTTGACATTTTTGTGTCGCGATCTATACGTGTATATAAGAGAGAGAGAGAGAAGAACAGTAAGACCGACAACAAATTTGTAATTTGATTCATTCCCATGTTTGATGATATACCGTTCAATGTATACTTCGAACTGAAGAGTCACATTTCTTCTTCTTCGTCTCAATAATTATCGAGTATTAATCACTGATATGTTCTTTTTTTGCAAGAATCTTATTAAATTTTGCTATATACATTGTCTTCTTTCTAGTAAAAGAATTCTAATTATATGTATATCTACTTAATGATATAATTTTTTGACAATAAGAACATATAAGATGATGAGCAGAAGTGTTATGATGTAAGAAACTAATTGTCTTTTCTTTACGTCGAACGCTAAGTGTGAAAAGTACTCAATGTTTACACCATATACATAAATGAACTTGCTTCTGTTTATCATTTCACATATATATATCCGAAATAGAAATGACGATCGATGATGATGATGATACACTAGCCAATTAGGAGTTATATATTAGTGAGAGACAGACTTTTTTTCCCATTATCGATCATCGATGCGCTCTATTGATATTGCTGATGTTGCTATACATTCCATCTAGTCAAACTGATAGACAGTCAAGTGAGAAAGGCGTGTCCGTCGATTAACAACAATTAACACGAGTACTATTCGTTGTGGTAGCAACAGAGGGGAGAAAAAGAAGAAGATGAGGATCATCGATAGTATGTGCGTGTTGGGGATGGTTCACCTACCAAACACCACACACATATATATATGTATAGATAAGTAACAATCACCATACACATTTCAATGTGATGTGATGTGATGATGATCGCGCGTGCGTTTGCATACCAAACAAGTTGACTTTGCTCGTGCACGCACGCGCACATCCATCAGTCTCACTTTCATTTCTTACTATGAGTAACAAATATACATTCCTTATTCATACATACTTTCTGTCTATAAGAAAAGATAAGTAATATATATTGAATCGATATATATATATATATAGATAGATAGATAGATATATACAATTTACAGATGATGACAATAATAACAAAAACTACTTAATTCTAAACAGATGCAAAAATAATCTTGGACATTGTACTTTATATGAAGGTTTTCTCTATTTTTCTGTATATTGTATCAGGCTAAAAACAAAAAACGAAAGAATTTGATATGCACAAAAAAAATTCTCTTTTATTGATATCACTAACGGATAATGTGTTCAGTCCATTCACACATCTAAGTAGTGGGCGTCTCTACAATTCCACTTGACACGTCAATCTTAAGATCAAATAGTGATCGCTACCGTTATGATGATGATGAGGATGGTGATGAACACCGTACGTGATTCTTTTTTTGTTTTCATGCTTCAACGAAATATAAAGCAAAGATGATGAGATCACCTGCTTTTTACAAAAATGAATTCTATCCTTTTTCTATTCCCTTAAGATATGAAATAAAAAAAGAACAAAGATGAATATATATATAGTAAGGCATTATCATGAATGCGGTAGGATTGATAGAACAAGACTATACAATTTCAATTTCTTCTCTGATGGTTTTGCCAAAGGGCAAAATATATCATGCCATATTATTTAAATCGTATCTTGAGAACAACAAAAGAAAAAAATTCATCGATTGGACCAATATTCTCTGTGTGAAATGATTCTTCTCCTTTTTTTTTCTTCCTCACTTGAATATTTATTTGGCCAACAGCACGAGTCGTCCATCTTCATCATTCGTTCGTTTTATTCTTACTTTGACCAACCATTCTACATCATACACACGATCTCGCGTGCGTATATGTGTGTCGAGACACATGAGAGAGAGAGAGAGAAAGAGAAAGAGAGCTAACAAAAAAAAGAAAACGGACAAGGAGAAAAGAGAGAATAATTATAGTGCAATCGTCAAGACAACGAATCAGAATACATACACATATAGATAGACATACGAGTATATCACTTCTCAAAAAATATTAGACCCCGTTCACGCGTATACGCGACTATTCATATTACAAAAAAAAAGAAGCAATGCCTACTGATCGTTTTGCACCTTATCCATTACCACCTCATATTAGTCACAGTGAATATCGAAAGGTAAAAGAAAAAGACGATAATTGATTGATGTGAAAAAAAAAATGATGTTTTTATTAGAATGCAAAACCAATTATGGAAAAACGAAGACGTGAAAGAATTAATCGAAGTTTAGAAGAATTAAAAAATCTTATTCTTGATAATGCAACAACAAATGTAAGTATCTAATAGAATTGAAAATTTTCTAATAATACATCTTTTAGAATGTGCGCAGTCATAAATTGGAAAAAGCAGATATTCTTGAGATGACTGTTAAACATTTACGAGCAGTTTACAAACATAAATTAGCTAGTAAGAAAAATCCATAAAAAAAATATTATATTTTCTTCTAAAAATTTTTATTTAGCGGCTGCTGCTGTTGATCCAACAATAGCTTCAAAATATCGTGCTGGTTATGGTGAATGTGCTAATGAAATTATACGATTTTTAACTACAACACCAAATGCTGATTTAGAATTAAAAACAAAACTTATATCACATTTATCAGCTCGTATACAAAATCTTTCATCATTATCAATTTTACCACCTATTCAACCATCATTATCACAAATACATCCAGCAACTGGTTTATTAACAAAAACAGATCGTTATTCAGTTAATTCATCAACAAATAATCAATATATTTTTATTTTACCTCAACAACAACAACAACAGTTACAACAACAAAAAATTCAAAATTCATCAACAACATTTGATGATGATATTGATTGTAGTTCAACAACATCAAATAATTCAAGTGATTGTGAATCAATTAAATCAGAAACACGAACAACAACAACAGACAGTCTAACAAGTACAATGATTGAATCACCATCAAAAGTATGGCGACCTTGGTGACCTATAAAACGTTTAATTCTTGTTGTTGTTGTTGTTTTTTGCATTGTTATTTTGTGTACATTTAAACAAAAAAAAATAAGAAATGTGTCTGTATGCAATGTTAATCCGTATCTTCGACAGTTTATTAGGAGGTGATGAGATGCGAAAGTTAATTTGAAAAAAATGTTTACACCTATACATATATATATATGTGCATGTTTAGTGTGGTTATATCTATTGCTCCTGATCTTTTTACGATATGTATGATGAGTGTATTATAATTCTTGTGTACACATAGACAAGGTGGAGAAACAAGTGTTGAGATGCGCTTATATTAACGAGATTTCAAATCATATGAACACACTTGAATACAAAATAGAGATGCATTAATTCAATGTGAGTTCTTTGCTGTCTCAATTAACTTGACGTTTTGTTTTGTTTTATTTTGTTTTATTTTTATTTTTTGTATTTTGTATGTTGTTTCGACGATATGACAACGACAAGTATAGAACAATCAATCTTCGATATTGATGATAATGAGAACAGGCAAAATTTAAGTTAAAAACAAAGTAGAGAAACGAAAGAAAGAAAGAAGTTTTGAGATATATTAATAATGACTTGGATGAATAATGACTTGAAAATGAGACATTTGTATATGTATAGTAGATAGAGATTGTAAAAAAGAAATGAATAGTATCAATGACTAATAGATGTATTCATATTATTCTATAAGAGATAGTATTTTATCATCTTATAATAGTTTCAAAAATGAATATTTAAATCATAATGAGATCATTGAATCCAAAAATAGATTTTACAAAAAAAAAGATTAGAAATTGAAAAATAATCCTATCAACTGTAACAGCATTGTTTTTTTCAAAAATATACGAAGAATTCGATAGTTCTCGGATATAGAAAATGAATACACATGAAACAGAGCTTAGAGGCAAAACAGAATAAACATGTGTTTTTTTTTCTTTAATGTATGATTCCAAGTCTTCAGTCAATCAATAATAGAATTATCTCATTTTACACCAAGTTAATTACTAATGTCTAAAAAAAAGATCGCAATTGTTGACAAGCGTAACTGAAAATATCTATTAGTACTGTAATTATAAACTCATATGAATGATGGATACATCTTCATACTATGATTGGTATGATTCATACGTAGGACATTGCGTGAAGGCTGGGATATTGTGAATAAAGTGAAGATATTCCTAGTTTTCAATCAATTCATCGAGTAGCTGATTGATTTTGACAAAACAAAAATATTACTGAACAAATTGAGCGTAAAAAAGATCTATTTGTTATGCAATTATGATCAATATATGAAAAGATAGTTTTTTAAAAAGTTAAAACAATAGTTGATTAGATTCATGATATAAATAAATTCTTGTGTAATGTTATCATTGGTTGATATGTTGAGTTGATCACTGATGAAAGCAAAAAGGTATTCAAGAAATATTTTAAGAAGTATTTGTATTGGTACGATTAACTGCTAATCGTTCTTTTCAGGTTATCATTATAAGTAAATAAGAAAATATGCGCCATGATTTAAATAATTCCTATTCATTTTTAGTGGAATATTTTAAAATCATTATTGTGTGAAATTGTTCATGCAAATGCAATGACTAAGTGAAATATGTAGTAGCTCTAATATGATCAATGAATAGATTTGATATTAGAAGTGAAATATTTCGTGAAGCTTTATATCTTCACAATCGTCTAATACTTATCATACCGACTGTAAATTAGTCGTCTGAATTTTTGGATTACAAGAAAATTTCCAATTTAATTATTATCCAACGATTTGCAAAATTAGATTTTTCGACCCGTCAACATATGATTGATCAGTAAAAGAGAATAAAATATTATTTTTACAAACATATACTTGGCCAACAGATTTCATTTATAAAAGTGTGAAATCGAAAATATCTTTCCTTTCATTTCATAATTGCTTAGACAAAATTATACCTAATTTATGTAATAAAAAAGAGTACGTGAATCGACACTTATTGCTCTAAAACTTTTAATTTATGCTGCTCTGGTCGAAGTTCATGCAATCTCATAATACTAAACTCGTATATAAAGCACGTACAGTAGAGCTCAAAATTGATACACATATAACGAATCACGTTGGTTTTCTAATATGTCAAAATGGTTTTCTTATATATTGAATACATCAAACTAGAAATACTAAAAACGATGTGTTTTGATATCACTCAAAATTGATCATAAATTATCACACACAAAAATATAAGGATATATTACGATTAATAATCTTTTAATATCTTTTTGAACGAGACGTTGTTTTTTTTTACAATTTTTGTCTAAAAAGCTAATAAACTTCGTTAAAAAATTTTTCAAATGTGTTTTTCTACTGAAAAGAATGAAGCATGGAGTACAATATTCAGCCATTCGTGTGCGTGACTTTTACAAACAGTGACTGTAAGAGTAAAACTTAGGCGACTTGAATTTGTTTTGCAATCTTGCTTGGAAGAGCATCTGCCAATTCGCCGTCATGAGCAAGAATAATGCCGACTGTTCCATTAGACTTTTCGACCCATTCTCGTGATCGTCTCATAGTCTCCTTAGTCGTGTCGATATCTTCATGTAATGATGTACCATTTTCCAATATGGCAATTTGTTCCTTGCCAAGTAATAGTTGTCTAGAGTGACAGCAGTCTCCTCCAAGAATAATCATTAAACCATCATTCAATCGTACTGCTGCCATTATATGTCCTACGATATGACCAGGTGCATGAATGAAATAGAGCGACCCATCTTTGAAAAAGTCATATGCATAATCGAATGTACCAAGCGGTAACATCCACTCGTCTACATCGATTGGTGGTAGTTCCAGTGTCTTTATGTTGCCAGAGAAGTGTTCTGCATGAAATTCAGATGACTCATCGTGTGGCCATCCTGGTGAAATTCGCTGCTGTGTTCCAGGCCCGAAGATTGCGACTGTATCGCGAGTAATGACATTGGCATCCGATTCAAAAAATTGAGAAATAGGATAACAGTGATCGAAATGTGCATGTGAATATGCCACATACTTGATTTTGGCTCCTTCTGAAATCAACTTCTTGACGGCTACATCTATTGGTTCTTTGCTGAGATCTGGTATAAAGGAGCTGCAATTTTTGAGAATTGTCGGTGTATACGAAGTTTCTGTATGCGACATTCCCAGATCGAACAACATATATGTATTTGATTGTTGATGTCGAATGAGGAAAGCATAGTCACGCATGTAAGCCTTATCATTTTTTTTTGCTGATGCATGCACCATCGACATTGTCGCCATTAATCCACCCCGCGACAACAGTGTCACATCGCAAGCAGAGTTTGATGCTGGAGGAGAATGATAAGCCATGTTTTGTTGATGTATTTGTTCGTAATGTGAAATAAAAACTGAATGATGATAAATGTGCGTCCCTTGTCTGATTCTTCTCAAGATTTGAATATAAAATTATATGTGCACGACCATTTTTTGATTTTAGAAACAGAGACCTGCGCAGTTATCATATGACTGAAAAAGCTGACACGATAAGGAAAGGCAAATTGACTTCATTTTTCTCTTTCTTCTCGCGTAGGGATGATTTTTGCGTGCAGTCGATATGAAGTATTCACTAAATAAATCGAAATTAATTCATCGACTTTCAACAATTGGATCAAGTCATCGAAAAACAGTAGTTGTTTTTGTTAACAAGGTGAATACGAGCAAAAAACTGAAGAAACAAATTTCATGGCATTTGAATCTCGTTATTCGAGAGCTCAGTGCTGTTTCTCTCACCAATAAGAAGATCATGTCGAATGGTTTTAGTTAGCTAAATTTATAAAATAATCTTCGAGTAGTGTCAACTTAAGGATTAATGGGACTCAACGAAAAGAGAACTATAATTTAATCTAGTTTCAACAATTCACTTTAATTCTTTCTCAAGTGAGAGGTCTTCGCTACTCAACTTTTCCCGAAAATGTCATGATTTTAGTCATTAACAGTGAGAAGATGCGTATGGAAGTGCTCTGAGAGAATGGAACCTTTGTTTTCGTCTAAAATCCGTTGCAATAAGATCACTCTACTTTAAGTTGATACTGGCGATCAGGTCTTAGCGAGCTCTACATGTCGTCAACGTACCAAGCGAGAGATTTGCAACTAATATATTTTTTATCCAGTAGTGATACTTTTCTTGGCATCTCTTACAAACAAAAATCACAAAAAAAATTCTGTTCGTTTCGATATATTTAATTTTATCTAAGACAAACAAAAAAACTATTCATTTTGCAACACCAAGATCAAGATAAATGAGATGTCGTTGTGGTAATAAATGTTTAATATATCGTTTATAATCAAAAAAATCTGGTAAATTTTCAATTGATAAATTTTCATTTTTAATTAAAAAATTTAATAAATCTTCAGATTCGTTTTCATCTAAAGCATCTTCCATTGATGACATTGTTTGAACAAATAATTTCTTATGTAAATAATTTTTATTATTTTGATCTAGCTTTTTAAAACATTTTAATAAATATTGTTCATCAGCTGCCTTATATTCATTATTAAGTAATTTTGGTATAATTATATCAGCAAAATCATATATATGAATTAAATGATGTTCAGCATCCATTTCTTCTCGTTCATTTGTACATGATAATGGATGATAACGCATAGCTAAATTATTGAATATGAAAGATTTTCTTTTTGTTTTTTGAAATAAATCTTACCGAGTATTAATTCATTAATTTCACTGTGAGTCTACAGAAAAAAAAAATGACAGAATTTTTCATCACCAACTCTTTTCAGTATTCCTTTTACACTATTGTGTATCAATTAAGTCTATGTGCTGGTCTTCCGCGACGACAACCTCATCCTGACATTCACTTTACAACAACAACCGCACAAACTCCGACAGGGTCAACTCAATTTTCGGAAAGGTGCACACCACTCAATCCTCATGCTGGTTCAAACACTGTGTAAAAAGTGAACACGACATCACAGCATCAGCATAGAAAAACAATTTTTTTGGAACTTCTTCAGATCAACGACACCTTGGCACCCACAGTTTTTGATGTACACTATCAGTTAGACCAATTAGCGTGTAGGATGCCGTTAATCTAGAGACGAATCATATTTTCAAATGGATATGTAGTTTTTCTACAAATGCATGCACTCCATGCACTAATGGCTTTCTTCTGTGGATTGTATAGAAGCGCTCAAGAAAAGATAATGAAAACCAGGTCTACGACAATTGGATAACGTCAATTAGTCGTAGTGTAGAATTGCTCACAATGTTGAAAATAAAAATCAGCAAAAAAAAGAATTTTCTTAGTATTGTGTAGATTGCACTCGGAGAGGTTCAGAAAATAACCAACAATCTATTCAAAGACAAGAAACATCAGATATGAGTGTAAATATGAAAATTTAATGCATTCTTCTAATTGATCCGACACCAGAGTCAACAGTAGTTGCTTTAAAAATTTCTTCTAATTCCCTATAATCTCTCTTCATTTTAGAATTTCTGTCTACTGTGACTTTTGGTATTCGACGGTGAATATAGTTTTCGTCCTTTCATAACATTTCGGTAAATCTAAAATGTGATTGTCAACATTTAAGTATCTATTACCAACGAGATTATCTGAGAATCGATTTTATAGGACAAATCTTCATTTTTCTAGATTCTATCTCACCCTTGCGTGATACTTTATCTGATTGAATCATATGCCTACAAATTGAGACTTGTGAGAACCAAAATAGAAACTACACTTTTGTCATATATACGACTAATTGTCGCTTTTTTGAAAAGAATTGACGATCAACAATACTTTTTCTCGACCAAAAATTGTATAGACAATTATTTTTTCTAAAAAACTAACTGGTACAAATCCAAGTGAATAAATTATATTATGCATATCACGATCAAATACAAAATTTGCTAGATGAGATTCATATGTATAAAAAGATTCAATTAATTGTTGATAAATTTTTGATAAATCAAGATCAATTCTTCGTTCAATTGGTAATTTTGCAATAGCTTCTCGCAAACCTAAAAGAAGAGGAACTATCGATTATATGAAAGAATTTTTCGATTAATACCTTACGATGTTCAACATTGTAATTATCAATATTAATTTTATCTTGTGAATTAATTCGATGTTTTTTTGTTGCCATAGTAAAAGAAATTTTTATTTTGTTTTATTTTAATTAGATTGAAGCAATATATGATGATGTTTTTCTGTTTGAAGAATAGTTTCTTTTAACGTTTTTATTTTATCTTCACTTAATTGAATTTCTTTTTGTTTATTAAATAGATTTAAATTCAATTCAATTAATTTATTTTTTAATTCTTTTTGATTTTCTATTTCAGGTTGTTGAAGTTGTTTTAAACGTTCATTTTTTTCAATATTATATATCCATATAGCAATTGTATAAGCATCTAAACTTTTATTTCGAATATATTCTAATGAAATTTCATTTAAATGAAAAAATTTTATTCGAAATTCATTCATTATAGTTGATGATGGTTGATAAAATTGAATTTTTCGAATAAGATTAGGATTTATTTTTAATTCAGTTAGAAAATCATTAGTTTTTATTGAAAATAAATAAGCTAATGCTTGAAAAAATATTTTTAAACGTTTCGGTGCTCGATGCCAATGACGTAAATTAAGAAATGATCGATATGGAAATGAAATAAAATTTTCTTTTTGATTAATTATTTTATTAAATAATTTTGATTGTTTTATTTCTTCAATTTGTTTTTCAATAATTTGTTTTTCTTTAAATAATTGTAAATATTTTTCTTCTTGAATTTTAAGTTCAGTTTCATGATTTGATAGAAGATGTGTTATTTCATTCATTGAAAGTCGATAATGATGTGATTTATCAAAATGATGACGAATCGTTTTAAAATCCTTTATTAAATTAATTGATTCAATAGAATTTCTAGAAGATAATTAAACATACTTTGATATCATTGACTGTTATGTCTAAGAATGTTGTTGTATATTCTTGTTGCATTGATTTATTTGTCAAATAAAATAATTCCCGCTTATGATTTAAAGTCAACAAAAAAAACAAAAATTTGAAATCATTCAAACCAGAAAAGTTATGTTTGAAATATTTTTTTTTAGTTTTACTTAGTAAAATTAAAGACTAACAAAAAAGGTATTTGTACTCACCTTGTGTAAGCAATAGAAAAAAAAACGAATTGAAAAGAGTCAGTAGACTTAATTCGATGTACATAAAAATGTGAAATGTCTACTAAAGATTAATACTAAAAAATGTAAAAATGAAAAATTATAAACGAAATAGAAAACTAATTTTAATGATAGGTAGAGATATCAATATGATAAATATTTTATTCGATCATTTCGTTGATATTTAAATATAAAAATCGAATCTGTTTTTCGTAATATTTTTTCTTTATTTTCAATATAGTCAGTTTTTATGTTATCGAAAATGGACTAGTGAATTCTCATAAGTATAAACGAAATAGTAAAACATGTAATAGTAGACAATCTAAATAGTTCATTTTGAAAAATTTCAACCACATGTAAAATTTTCGACTTTTTAAACTATTTTCATCAATGGTTCGTTTCTCTCAAATTATCATATCTCATTAAACTTAGTGTACGCTGGTTAGACGCTAAATAGATCTCTAACTTAAAAGAATGTCTAGTTTAAGATTTGATGAACGTATACAACTATTCGTATACTTTTAGCTTAAAAGGTGTTGATTTAAAAACAATGGTTCTCATAGAATTATTTAAAGTTAATATTAATGATTGTGATCGAACTGTTTTAAATAAACTATGTGTTAATCATATAATTTTTATTGGTAAGCTAGGAAGTTATAGCAAAAAGATTAAAAGAATAAGTTTTATTTTGAATAATTTTATAATATTTGAACTAAAAAAAATCGTGTTTTTCTAGCATTTATCACACAACGTGTTTATAATCATACGTAATAAGAATATAGAATATTTTTAGTAATAATGTACATGTTAGGTAGAATATAATATTTTTCCAGCGAAATACGACTTCAAATACAAATGATACCAATATTGAAATTTATATTCAAAAGAATGCAAAGTTTAGCAATATAATTAACTTCTCATAGAATGATTATGAGTTTCTATGTAAAAAATGGCTGAAAATTAGATTAATAATCTATTATAATGTATTATTTGAAATTTTATTTTTCACCCTTAGAAATAGATTTCATTTAATTTTCATCTTTTTTAACTTATTTTAATCCGGTTAACGAACTTTAAACAATTAAAACAGATTTGAACTTATCAGTTGTAATTGATTTAACTTAAATAATCGATTAAAATAGATTGAAGACAAACGAAATCTGTCTTTACGGCTAGAAAATCTTATTAAAATCAGATTAAAATAGTGTCATTATAATAGAACCTCAAGCCAAAAATAATCGATTTTAATTTCATTTTGAGCCTTTTTTTATATAAGTTGGTGGATTACACTAAATGTAAGGCATCTGATTGAGACCTTCCATGGGTAGCCAACAGCAAATAACACGTAGGTCATAGGAACTTTCCACTAATCAGGCTTTGTAGACTCCTCATTTCCTGATCATGTTAATAAATAAAAAAATGCCAGTGCTACTGTAAAAGCATTGAAAAACTTGATACAGTTTGGCGTGCTGAAGTTATGATTTTTTTTTTTCTGTATTTAGATTGTAGCATTGTCATTGTTTTTATTAAAATGATCGTCAGTGAGCGCTCTGCAAAGTTTCGTTGACAAAAAGTTTTCTGAAAACTATTTATTTTTCGTTGTTGTGTATCCATAGAAGTCTTCGATATTATGTCTCATATTTTCGAACTGTCAGTAATTTTCTCTAATTCATGATTATTCAATGCATAACTAGTTATACTGTTCAATCTCGTTTTCACTTCAGTATAAAATTCAATAATGGTATCAGTTGTATTTCAGAACTGTGTCTCATTTAAAAAGCCTAATTTTTTATTCCGTATAATTAACTCTTTAATAATCGACGACGAAAATATGTATCAGGAGTTTTATCATCATTTTGTTACAACTCATCTTAGATTCATACACTAAAACGCGAAGATAGGCGTGTTGTATAATTATTCTATTTTAAGTACACGCATCTTTTGTCGGTAGTTAATGGGTTAATAAGGTTTTGTTCATTTTTGTACCTCATCACCAAAACTAACATTACATAAATAGAAATCATCGATATAAAATTCACCAGAATGAAAACTGCTGAGGTTCTGTCGATCATCTATGTTTGTAAGTTTTGCTTTGACGATCTAAATTTCGACGATAGTTGTGCTCATCAAAATAAAAACAGTCGCAATTCCAATTAACTAATTTTGATGAAAAACATACCGACCTATTTTTTTTTAATAGAAAAAAAACAGTATTCGTATTGCTGAATAAATAATTTCTTTGAATTTATTAGACTTCAGTTCGTTTCATAATTTACATTGGAATAGAATCTCATTTTTTTTTCTTAAAGTATCAACGAAAGAACTGTCGACGACAACAATCACTTATCTTATTTTTTTTTAATAAAAAAAAAACAGGATTCATTGCGCAGTAATGGAAAAACATAAGAATATAATTAGAAATCTTTTTGATTATGTTACAATGAAAATTTTTTTTCATACACTCAATTGTGAATCAATCACTTGATATATTTCATCCATCAGCACACGCATACACCTGTTTTTTTTTCTTTCCCATTTCTTTCTTACTTGTCGACGATGAAAAAGACGTAAAAGTATTTGTTTGAGCACTTCTTCAGTGTCTATAGTTTTTTTTCAAAATATGTAACAATGAAAGTTTTCTTTTCTCTTTTTGTTACACACTCTCACTCTTCATCATAAATTTAAAGACATCGAGCATGTTTGTCCTTTTTTCGATTTTGTATTCTATGTGACACAATTAATACATTTTTCTTTCATCGATTGAGATGACGGCCACTACAACGAATAAATCAGACACAAGATTTCTCGGTTTACCGAAAAATAAAACAGGTTTTCTCAATTCGTTTGTTTTTATTTTCTTTAAACAGAATATAATTTCAACTATATTTCATCTAGGACTTTTTGCTGCTGATACTATTCATGAAGTTAAATCTACGAGAAATCATTTAATCACTGTTCCTGCATTATCACCACAATTCCGTAATAATGCTTCCACAAGTGTATTATTAGCATCAGCAGAACAAAATCATCATCAATTACAACAATATCGTCTATCCGCAAATGAAATTCAACAATATTATCCACTCGATGGAAATAATGCAACTACTGTTGATTCTTCAAATGATTCACGTTTAACATTAAGTGGTATAAGAAATGGTTTTCGACCATCAACAGTACGTCATCAAAAATTTCGTTTAACAACAGCTACAGCACAACGAAATAATATTCCATATGAAAATAAAGATTCACCACCAAAATCAGCATTTGTTCAATCACATGCTTCAGCTAAATTAAAATCTGAAATCGATCATATTAGTAGTAAATTAAGAAAACATGGAGAATCAACTGCAAGCCTTCGTTTTCAAAATAATCGAGTAAGATAAATGTTTTGTATTTTATAAAAATCTTCATCATACTAAACAGAATCAATTTTTTTATCTACACGATATTGAACTCTTAAAAAAAAGTACATTGCAAATTTTGTCAAATATTTACTTTTCATTAATTAGTTACTTCCTCCTGAAATTTGTTTGACAATTTGAGGTCAAAATCTATTGTTTATTTGACCTTCTTAATTGATTAAGACCAATTCAATGATAACAATTTCTATTCTTGTCTTTTTTTAAATAATAGCACAATTAATTTTAATTCTTTTAGGATTTGGATTGTACTCCACAAAGTGATTTTTCCTATTCAACATCATGTCGTCTGTCTTCTGCATCAACTACTTATACAGCTGATCGTATTCATCAACGCTTTTCATCAGCTATAACCAACGTTTCGGCAAATATAGCTTCTACACTGCCCGTTATAAATGATACATCTAATCAAACTTCACAAATTATTTCGGGTATTTCTCCAACATCACCACGGCCACCTGTACTGCATGAAACAGATGATAACCAAAAAGATACAATAGATTATCGAACAACTCATGCTTATCAGGTTCCACAGCAATCAAATGTTGGCAGTGAAAGTATCTTTCTACCTGATGCACCAATAGTCCCACCAATGAACGTACGGTCAGCTAAATATGATCGTCGTCAAAATGAGTCTAAATCGGTTTCGTGTCCATTCTATGTTATGTATTTAACAAATTTAACAATGCAACAACGACAAAATAAAACTGACAATAATAATAATAATAATAATAATAATAATAATAATAATAATAATAGCGTACATGATGTAACACCATTGGGAATGTCATCAATGGCACGTAAAGTACCATTTAATTCACGTATAAGTACAGCTCATGTAAAAAATCAATCAGTTCGACGACAAGTCAATAGTCCAATCAGTATGAATACTTATTCAACTATAGAAGATGAAGATTATATGACAATGTCAACATCATTTCATAATAATAAACGTTTATCAGCTAAAGTGTCTAACAGTGAAAATGAAAATTTTCATATGTTACGAGATATTCTTCGAACTTCATCATGGAATCATGTACAAGTATAACATTGGATGTGTTTTTATTTTTATTTTAAAAATAATTTTTTCTTTTTTTTTTTGATTTATTCCTTTTTTTTTTTTACTAAAATTTTCCATTGTCATTAGAAAAAAAAGAAAAACAAAATCATTATGATATAAATCATAGAAGTTTTTCCTATTTTGAATATTACATCGATTCGGTTATTGTTGTTACTGGTTTTGATACTAATGAAGAATATTTATAGAATGGCTGTTGCATTTGTCGATTAGATAAACGACCTGAATTTGCTTGTACACTTGATCGATCGGTTACACTGGAACGAAATGATATAGGTCCTTTATCATGTCTTTGACTTGAAAAATGACTCGGAAATGATGATGATGATGAACGTCCTTTATCTTGACAACAACATGGTACTAATGATGGCAAAATAGGTATTGCTGATACGCAAATTCCTATAACAGAACGACGAAATTTGTCACTAGTTAATAAATATAAGAAAAAGTTTGTTGCATGTTGTAAATCGCTTAATTGAAACATGATTACAGTTAATATAGTTAAACGTCGATAACGTAACCATTGGTAATAATCATTTTCCGTGGGTAGTTTATTAAAGCCATATGTAAGATCAAGTACAAAATAGATACTATTTGGTAATGTAAGAAGAAGAAAAACAACAGCAACAGCAAGTAACATTAATGTTATATGTCGATGTCGAGAACGAATAACTTCCGTCTTTTGATTACTACGCATTTCAATATCTTGATTATCTGTTCTTTTCTTTTGTTGTTGTAATCTACTTAAACGATTTCCACTTCCAACTAAAAAATTAAAAGAAAAATTTCATTCAAAATATGTGTTTCTTTTTTTAATCTGTTTCCTATGTAAGAAAAAAAAAAAAAAAAAAAGAGAAAGAAAAACAACCACGAAGAATTGAATAGCGTATTATCACGAAAAATATACCTTCCGGCTAAATATATTCTTTCCTTTCGAAGTTAATCATCAGAATAAATGATATTTATCATGTATGATTTGCCTAAAGGGATATTGGCAATTATAATGAAGTTCTCTTGACTGTATTAGTGTTCGTCTGGAAATTCTTCTTAATAGACTTACTTTTATCATTTTCTTCTATATTATTTGTTTGAATTCATGTTTTACAATCAACTTTATTTATGATTCATATCAATTTGTAAAAAAGAATTAAATATTATTAAGTTATTTTTTCTGCTTACCTCGTTCATTATTTATTTTATTATCCATTATTTTTCGAATATTTTTATGTGAACCTCGTCGATTTTGACGTAATTTATATATAATTAAAACACTTAATGTTAATATAAGTATAAAAGGTAAAAAACACCATATGACGAAATCTACATAACGCCATATACGTTGTATTGAACCATAACGACTTATATCATAATAACAAAAATGTTGCTTATGATCTTTTGGATGTTTTAAACTATCAATAGTCCAAAAATGATGAAAGGAAATAATACTTGTCATAGCAGGAAGAAATATACAAACATGTTTTGCACGAGTTACCGTGCAAAAATCAGAAACTCTTAAAGGAAACCAAACAGCAAAAAACTTGTCAGCTGTCATAATAACAAGTATCCAAACATTCGTATAGCCAAGAACGTATATAAGAAAATAAAGTATTTTACATAATATAGCATGAGCTGCAATAAAGGTTGGAAAGTATACGAGGTTTTTTGTTAATAATACAAGTGGATCAAGGACACTAAGAGCAAGCATGAAAAAAGTTGTTGATGTTCCACGCATATGACGACTTCGTAATGCAATGAAGGATAAAAAATTACATATAAGTGATACTGGTAAAATAACCAACGGTAAACTTCTACGTAAAAAATCTGCTATCCATTTTTCATTCCAACATTCAGATAATAATTCATAAGATGTGTCATTGGTTGTTAAGGAAATATTTCGGCAAAAATCTGGTACTCTACCCATGTAAAATGTGATTACAATAGTAATTATCTGAAAAGCGACAGTCGTTTATCAAGACTAATATAGCTGAGTATAAAAAATATCCTTTTATGTCATGTCTTTCTTCTCTCAATGACGATGTTTCGGACACCGATAATAAGATTACGTACTCATATGCATATATCTATGGATATATATATATATAAATACATATTTTTATCAATCGTTTCATCTGTAGATATACATATCAATATAAATACATTGATAACAAAAATCTTTATTCGATTTATATGAATTTAGAATACTGTTCTTGATTAATAAAAAAAAAAGATTTATATGCAATTGTTGTTTGTTGTCTTATTTTGGATGAAATCTTTCTTTTTTAGTATAATTAACATTTGTATAATAATAGATCTGAGTAATAAACTAACACTTTTCGATTATAAATGCAATGTAGAAAACTATCTATTTTTGTCTTGCTTAAAAAAAAGAAAAACGACTTAACAAAAACTAGTTATTCTATCATATGAATAGCCTTTTTTGCATCTGAATTATGATGATTTATTCCACTAGGAAAATATGAAGAATTCTCTATGGTATAGATATAATAAAACGAATAAGTAGTTTAGGCAAATCCCAAATGGCTAATGCACGGTTGAACTCACATTTGAATAGAAAATAATATAATACTACTGGATCAAAAGAAAAAAAAAACTTCGTTTTTCTTACTCATCAACATATATATAAAGACACTTATTTAAACGATCTCTATTTCCATAATATATAGAATAAATTTCGTTTCCTGTCAAAACATATACATATGACTTCATCATTCTATATTTATATGTAAGATTTATTTTAATCTATTTCCAAGCAGTCAACCGTATATAAATATAAATATATATATGTTTTTTTAGGTTAGTTTAAGAGTTCTAGAACATAAAAATAATAAAAATGATTAAAAAAAAAATTAAATTCTCTCTCTCCAGAGAAAAATAGATTACTGAATGGAATTGTCTATATTTCACTGAACTCAACACATTTTAATATAATTAGATACTAATTAAATATTATTACAAACGTTTTTTAAATGCTCTCAGAAAATGAAGTAGAAATTGTCAAGCTTTATTGTCTTACCAGTTGCTACAAAAGATTGTATTAGCATATATATATAGATGTGTATATATAGTCTTATGTTCGACTGATGTTAGTTGTAATAGCTCTATAAACACTTGTGATCTGTCTGTCAACGAGAGCAGACTAATGGTTATATGTCGTTGCGCATTGAAGAGTCAAGAAAAAGCAAACGAGAGATAGAAATCATCAAGTAAAGAGAAGACGACAGGAAGACAGAGAGAAAGAGAGAGACAGAAAGAGAAAATGGGTAGAGTTTTTTTTATGAGAGAAGGCAAAAAAATGCATATCATGCAAACGGAAATTGTCAACGACAGGGCTCAACTTAGCAAAAATCAAATTAATACAAAACTATATATCTCACTCTCGTTCATATGCCATCATCGACATCGATTGAATATATATCTTGTTCGTTGAAGTGTAGGATATAGTTCGTTCAACTTGTTTCTGTCTTTCTCTTTCTCTTTCTCTTTCTCTTTGTCTTTGTCTTTCTCTATATTTGCATCGATCCGTAAATGTTGAAGGTCTAATATGACAAGAAAATAAGTGGGTGGAAATACACATTAGAAAAAAAAGAAACCAGTCTTTCATACTACGTAGAAAAATGCCGTTTACATCATTTTCTCATAAGAACCAATAGATTATTAGAAAGGAAAAGAATTAGATTATCAAGTTCAATGGTTTGCATTGTTATTATTTGTAAGCACTTGATTAAATAAGTAAAACCTCATCAGAATATTGTAATACTTTTCTTTCTATCAATAAACAAATTATTTTTTATTATTAACATATAAGAATATAATCTATTTCATTAAAAGAACAAACAACGAAGTTTACAGTGACAAATACCGGAAAAAGGAAACTTTCGTCAATCAAATTTAATCAAATCTACATTCTATTTATGCCATGAATACGGCTGAAACATTTTTAGTATATTTGTTTCGCATCCTCCAAAAAAAAAACAAATTTTTATAAAATCATCAACGCATATCTCCATGTATTTTCTGCATCAATTCATCTATTTAAAGAAGATTTCTTCTTTTTAAACGACAACAATATCGTCATTTTAAAATTATTATCTATTTTAGTGCTATTATTCCAAGCAATGATAATACTAATCATTTATTTTTTGGAACTAACAATTTTATTAATTACAAAAAAAAACAGGAAATAGTTTACTGAAAATTTCTATTTTTGTTGGATTATCCAATGTAAGACAGTTGATGATGGCAGATTACTGAAGACAGATGTTGTATTATGTCAAGAAAAAAAAACAGGTCATAGATGATTTGTTAAATGTCCTAGTCAACTGTTGTTGCCTTGAACACTATTGATTGGTAGGTCATGCGGTTCTTTTCTTTTATATATTTGAATCCAGTTAATCGAGATTAACTATCCATAGATATCTAGTACCGAAATTTTATTCATCCAACTAAAAGAATCATGAAAAAAACATATATACAAACGAAGAAAAGTATTTTATATATGTAAAATATTGCTTTTTCATATAAGTATGTGGTATACAACTATACAAAATAATGAAGGAACAAAATATAGTGCTGGATTACAGATCGAGACAACGACAAGAAAAAATTTTTTTTTCGATGTGAAACAACGAACATCTGACAAAGCCCTCTCCTATATTTTTAAATTCTCATCTCAGATAACAAAGAACAACAACAACTATGGAATAATTATTTGCTTGTATAAAGTTTTTCATAGGCTGGTGGTGATACATGTTCAATGTGAATATCATCATTTAGTTGTGGTGGTGCACTTGGTTGAGGTAACATTGGACGACTTTCTGGTGATTGAACCATAACAGTATTCCATGATTGAGGAGGAGCTTGTTGTTGATAATATTGAGGTTGATAACCAGATGGTCCTGTATGAACATATATAGGTTGTGGAACTTGAATAGTAGTTGGAGCTACAATTCAAAAATAAAATGAAATAATTATAAATTTCTTTATGATTTCTTGAAAGCTTTTTCAATTCACCTAGATTTCGTTTTCGATTATTACCACCACAACAGCATTTAACACAAATAATTATTGTTGTAACAAGACAACAAAGCATGCATAATGAACCTATAACTAACACTACAATGGCCACCTAAATAAAAAGCAAACAGCAATTAGTAATGAATTACTCTTTAATTCATTTTTATGAGGAAAAGAAAAGCTCTTGAACTTTAAAGCAAAAGATTGCATTCACAACAATTATAAAGTATTGTGTTAATATATAAGATAGAATATAAAACTGAAGTGTATTGTTCTCCTCATTGAGTACACTTTTAAACTTAGAAATAATGAAACAAATATGAATCGTGCATCCTATGGAGAGACTCTTCATCCTGGCACAAAAGTTTTGTTTTTAGCATTAAAAAAGTATTTATCATAAAAGTTTGATTTATATATAAAACCAAAACTTAAAAATTTATAGTGTCTGAAACTTCATCGAACGATTTTTCTATAAAATTAAATATCCTTTCAAAAACTTCGCTCAAAAGAAAAGAAGAATTTTTCAAGATTGAGATCCCTCGTTCAGAACATTCCTGAGTAACTCTAGATAGTTCTTTTAATAATTACAAGAGATAAATAGAGTTTTTAGATAAAGTGTTTGTTTACTTTTGATACACTATAAAGTATTGCTGATGAGTAAAAAGTTTTGATTTAGGGTGCTGTTTTCGAATATGAGCTTAGAAATTTTGTTTTAATGAAAGAGTATTTGAAAAGTCCAAAAAGAGTAGTTTTTACGAGACATTGTTCCGCACATTTTATATTTTCACTATTGCTATTCGAAACCAATGACTAGGACTTTGATGCATGTATCCGCTTGTAAATCAGAAGCTATCCTATAAGATTCACGATTGGAAGTTTTTATTGTATTTCGACGGAGCATCTAAATTTTTGAAAAATCGACCAACGTTTTTTGTCGCAAAGAACTCTTGACAAAATACTTGTAGTCAGACTTTCATGGAAGCTACAGCCTGGTTCAACATTACATTTTGCAGATAAGTATTCACCCTACAAGACGATCAATTCGAACGATTTTTCAAATGTTCAAAAAGGAACTTATAGAGTAAACAAAAACATGTTGACGCACCATCAAAAAAAAAATTTTCAAGTGTGTCTAAAGGTCTTCATTACTCTTGAACAAAAATAGACGCAACATATTTAAGTTCATATTCAAATTCTGGTCGTCGCGACTTACAGCTTTTGATTTGTGGAAAATACTATCTAACAAATTAAAAGCAAACACACATCTTGTTCAAAAACTTTTCAATCACCCGTGAGTGTATTTTCCGTATGAAATCTTAATACTCTACCTTTTTTGCCATTCCCAAAATTTCTTCACCACTAAAATACAAAAATATCAGTTACAGTAGAGAAAAACACTAAGAATATTGGAAATAGAAATTCTCAAAAGCAAAAGTCAAGCTGATCCATATTAGTGATTATAATAGCCATAGATAGGCGCCACACTTCAACAGAATAGAAAAATTCATTAGCATAAATATGTGCAAAAAGTTGACAAGCAAAAAGAAACAAACATTTCGTTCTGTTTTTTTTCAAATACATTCGATGAAATCATTTTTTATTTTATATACTACATTTTTTCAAATTCGTCGTTCTCACTATAAATAACAACAATTAATTGTGTAAAGGTTACACGAAAAAAAAATAGGGAGGTGATATAAAGTGAAGCAGTCTAATCTATGTATTAAGTTTAAGAAAATAATATAAAATACCTTTCTGTATTTTTCAGTGCTTTAGCTACACTAATCACGACACCGGCAGTTTGTAAAATTCTATAAAAATCAATAGAGTACATATCGTTCTCTCACACAAAAGCTTTGAAACAAAAAATAAAATCATCAAATTTAATCAAGTAACTCACTCTAACACTTGACGACGTTCACGTTTATTGATTTTCGACTTTTCAACTTCTGTATTAAGACGAATAACTCTATAAGAAAAAGTAAATTAAGATTTTTCGTTTGAGTTCACTTTACCTGATTAAGATTTTTTCAGTTGTTGTTTGCGTGGATTGGTCAGGAGAATCATTAGTAAGAATATTATTATTTGGTTCATGTTCAGCAACAGCAATATCTAGGAAGAAGAAAAACATCCAATAGAACAATATAATTCAGATTTTCTATTCTTACTGATTACTGATTGTTGAACATTGTTGACATCAGTGTGATTTTCGGCATTTATTAAAGTAAACAGAAGACTTGTTGAGAATATCAAACCAAATAAAAACATTCTGAATATAATGACTTTCAATGAATGAAATTTGATTAGTATATCGCTTCGGTTTTATATAAACAACGATGAATGAATCAGAATGAGGTAATTGTATTTTCTCTTTTAAATTAGCAGTTGTCATCCTTATGAATCACAAGAATTTTATTAAATAACCAATCAACCCAATTCCATAAAAAGATGGCAGTAGTAATAGAATTTCTTGATAAAACAAACTAAAGAAAGACTTCAAGCTAGTATAGAAAAGAGAACGATAAATGGCAAAAAAATTCACTATTGTTTGATTTCAAGACAGGTGTTCTTTTTGATATCAAATTACTTACCGTTATTTACTTTTATAGACATGCAAAACAAAAAAGTAACATTACTGAATGACAATAAAAGAAATTGGTTTGTTTCGAATAGCAAACATTGAACGATAAAAATTTTAATGACTTTTTGTAGCTTTATAAATAACATATTGAATTTAGTGACAATCAGCTCTTGCTATTAACACGTTTTTTCATGATCTTTCTTAACTATGCATTCTTTGTTCAAGAAGCAAATGATTCATGCGGATGTGTTTATAATTATTGAAAACAATCTAATCTTTCATTATTTATAGTTATTATTTCATCGTATGCTATTCTAGTCAATATTATTTTTTTGTGTTTATAGGTAGATTACTTAGTTGAACTTAGTAAACAAAGTTAGAAATTATAATAAACGAATATCTCTAGAACAATAACTATGACAGTCATAATTCCAAAGACTGTTTGTTCATGAAAATAGTATGTGTCCGAAGAATGATAAGAGGTTTATCTTTTTCTTTATCTTTTTACATGTTTCTGTTTTCCTTCTCGATATTGAAAAGAATCATCGACCTTCTAGAATTATAAATCTTTATCAACTTTATTCATCCTTAATAATTCTTTTGCACTTTACACGGAAGAAGTGAACTTCATCTTTTTTCTATCTGAGTGCATACCGATGCATGTAAATTGCTACGATCATATCGGCTCGATACATCTTATAATTTAGTTTCCTCTTATTTTTCATTCTTTTTTTCTCAAGATTATCCTACTTTACCTGTATTTTGAAACGCGATCGAAAAGCAAAGATAGTAATTCAGACCCACTTGTCTTTGCCCCCGCTCTTTATTGGTCATGACAACCTTGCTGATATACGATCAAAGACCATATACAATTAATATTTCGTTATAATATATGAACAAGTTCCTTATTGCATTTCTGAAGTATTGAGCAAAAAGATAATGAAGAAATGTGTTCCAACATACATAGAATACAACAATCTTTCTCTGATTAGCAAAAGCAGCTATATTGTATTTCACATTTTAATCCCGCAGGGATTGTACTAACAGCTTCCTTTCTTCTCTATGAGTGGCACCATCTATCTTCCAATTTAGAGAGAAAATACAAATGAATAAGAATAACTTTTCAAAAGGATAGAATAGAGTACATGATTGACCTATAATGTTGGATGTATCGGCCGAATCTGACACCTTAGGTGAATAGATTGTACTCACATGTCTAGCATATATCACTGTCGTTCGATAACATCCGATGAAGATTTTTTTTTTCTATTCAATCTATTTTTGCAAAAAATTTTCATTCTTTTATTGTCTTTTCAATTCATACTTTTTTACAGTAAAACATAAATGTCGATATGTGTACTATTGATAAAGTGAGTCGCAAAATGTAAGTTACTATTTACTTTTGTCATAAGTTCAATAGTACGTTATTAATAAAATCAAATTTCTAATTTATTATGTAACTTTTTAATTCTTGATAAATGTCACTTATTCGATAAAGATTTATTGCAATTCTATGAAAAATGTATTTCATCGAACTTCAGCATCATTTAAGTGTGATTTATGCATGATCCTTGATGACAATTTTACTAAAGTTTCAATTGTAAATTTTTCTTTGAAGTCAAAATCACTTTGACAATCAAAGTATTCGATTCTGAAGTATCACATTGCTATTATCGTCAAAGTCATTAGAAGCATTATTAAATTGAACACAATGTAAGATATAAATTTAATCTTTAAAGTTGAAATATTTAAAAATGATTATTTATTTTATGGTTCATAATTATTTCATATTTCATGTGAACATAAATACTTAACTTTAAATTATGTTAATCTTAGATACAAATAGTTATATAATATATACTTTAATAATCAAATCAATTCTCTTATCTATATATGATGACAGAAAAAGATAGTTATTCTGTCTATGCTAGCACTTTATCATTCACTTATCACAAATATCTATTTGTCTTCATTGATTTTCTTTTTTGCTATACTGTATTATGATTTAACACTAATAGAAAGATGTACTCGTAATATTAGTCAAGTCTACATAAGAACATGATGTTTTATAAATAAGAAAAAAATGTCATATTTCACCATTAAATATTTCAATATTTCTTAGTCAGTTTATGTCTTGAATAACCCAATATATGAAAATTTTTTTTAATTTTATTATTTTAATAAATTGATTAATTCTGTTAGTCGTTAACTTGTTGTTTACTGTTACATTTATTGTTACTGAATTTTGACTTTTCGGATTTGAAAATTTTTCATCTTATCGAATAATTTTTTTTTTGTAAATAAAATAGATATATTTAAATGGACTATGAATAATCTCATACCAATAGACCATTTTTAGTATAGAATTTATTATTGACACGTTCATTTGAATAGATAAGATCTCAACTCATGTATTCAATGTTGTCTGTTCAGAACAATAGATGAAATTTTATCTCTACTGATGTAGTTTAATGATGAATAATAACCTATTTTGATAATATCACTCAAACAAATGCATTTTTCTTTTCTTAATTACCATAAATTGTCTGAAAGTGTTTTTTTTCAAATGATCCTTTCTATCACATGATCCAATTTTGTAACTGTTGCAAATCATGTGACTAAGTATACGAAAAAACACATCAGTTTTTCTAATCATCTGAAATCTGAATTTTTTTTAAAAACATGATAACTTTTAGTATAAAATCTATTTTTGAAAAATTTATAGTATGAACACAAATTTTGCGTTTTGATTACTCTTTTTTGTCTTTTTTTTCAACAATCAAACACAAAACAACGACTTACAATAAAAAAAAACAACAAAATGTAAATAAGTTTTTTCTTTATTAACTATCGAACTTGTTGAAATGACGGTGATGCATTAGCTTTATTTAATTGAAAAAGCCATTTAATAATTCTTGCATTACGTTCAATCACAGTTAATGATGTTGATGGTACAACTGTTCGTTTTATATTTGATAGACTATTAGCACTATCAAGTGTTGTTTGATCCGAAAGAGATAATAAACTAACACTTTCAAATGCACTACAATCGGAAAAATTTATTGTTGAAATTGGTGTTGATATTGACTGTGTAGAAGATTTTAATGAAAGATCAAGAGAATCTAATCGAAATCGATCATATTCATATTCAATATTATGATAGGGAGAACGACGTGGTTGTCTAAGAAAAAACAATAAAAACATCAATAAATAAATGATTAATTATATTAAAAATTAATATAAAATAAACTTACGCTATTCGAAATGATGGTGTCATTCGTTGTTGTGCATTTGATATTTTATTATTTAGAAGTGTTTGTCGATTATGTAAAACTTGTTGACTTTTAACAAAAAATGGTTTTGTTTCATCTAATAATTCTGTTGCCGAACGATGTGAACACTGTTCTATTTAAATAAGAAATAGAACATATAAGTTTAGATTCCATTAAGTTCACAAAAAAAACTCTATCACAAAAAAATCAATTAAGGTATCATTTATTACTCTTCGAAAGTAAATGACTTTCTATCATAAAGACTTCAATGATTTATGACTTAGACAAGGTTATTTGACATTTACCAGACATGATCATAATGATGACATACAGATTTTGCTCAGGTTTTTTTCTTTTTTTCTTTATAATGATATGATTTAAATGACATCTTATTACATCACCAGTCTATATCAGATGCGTGTCAAAATGAATCGTTGACTCATCCGATAATCAGTCTCGTCGAGTTCTTTTGTTAAGATGATGATCAGATGGAAGATAAGTGAGACGACAGATGATTTGGAAACGATGATGATGATGATGATGACGATCAGTTGATAAACATGCTTGCTTCATTAACATTTCTCATGTAAACATAAACGACCTAATCATTGCTTCTTTGGGTAAAGCTCCTGTCTCATCGTAATCAATACGCAACAAAACATTGTTAGAATAAAAGAGAATGTAAAGAAAGAAAAGCTTTTTGATCAATACCGACTACTTGAAAGATGAGAATTTCGAGGCTAGGATTAACTTAATATTAAAATCGAAAAACTTACTTGAATTTGAAGCTGCAGTAGTTAATCGAATGCGTTCTAATTTAGCATAGAATTCATCAGTTTTTGTTTTATCACTATTGTTCATGAGTCGTGATCGTCGTCTATCAATATAGTGATGCTGATGTTGTTGCATCTTCTTCGTATTCTTTGTATGTATGTGTTCAGTTGTTCGTCGCTCACACTTACTACTCTCCCTGTCTCTCTCTATTCACCGACGATATTTGGAGTAATGAGAAAAATGACTACGAACGGGCAAAGAGAGAGAGAGAAAAGATGAGGAAAGTAGAACAATAAGAGAGAAAGCAAGAGACAGAGAGAAAGAAGAAAATTTGTCCAACACTAAGAAAAAAGAGAAAGCGAGACTGAAGAAATAGCCAAATGTACGTGTCTACCTTGAATTTAGAAATAAGTTGAGCAGGCAAAAAAAGATAACCTTGGCCATAGCAGTTCAAAGCACGGAAGAAGAATCGGACCTGTCCCCTTCGTTTTTTTCCTATTACATCATTCTTCATTATGCAGTCCAACCTGTGATACATGTTACGGATCGAGTTCGACATTTATAGATATATCATCTGTTTCAACTGTTTATATATGATTGACTATTCATCAATTTAATTGTCGATTTTATATTTGCATGTA